TTATAAATCATTTTTTTTTTCGGGAGGGGGATTTAGTTAAAATTTCAATTAAATTTAAAACTTCCATTCCGAGACCTTTATAAAAAAATTAACAAATTTATAACAATAATTTATATTTATATAAGCCTATGTTTATGCATAACAATCATATATTGTAATTGAAAACAAAACAAATTACATGCAAATTAAAAATGGTAATTTTATTTTTAATTTAAAAGCTGAACTGAAAAAATGTTAAATCTAATATCTTTTCTCCCTGGGAAAAATAGCTAAAATCAATTTTGTTAAAATTACTGAGCAACTCTTTTAATACTTTAAAATAAACACATATTAATTCATAAACATATATAGGAAAAAATCTTATTTAGATCGTTAATTATTATTTGCATAAGCGAAACGATAATTCTAAAAATAAACAAAAAATCGACTTACGCTAATTTTTCCCGGGATCATATAAAAAAAAATTGAAACTTACACGTTATACACTTCCTTAAATTGAATTTGTTAACTGTCTTTCATACTTGGAACACTTAACGAAAATAATATAACGATGGCCGATCACATTATTTTAAACTATTAACCGGCACTTAGAACTCGCAAAAACAACACCACAACGAAGCGCCGTATGGTTCGATCTAATGCAATACGCATAACTGGCGTGCTTGTTTGACGAACAGTTGCTAGCGCGAAAGCAAACCGTCTGAAAACAGTCCGGCCACCGAATTATCGCCACAACGGGAACACACTGGTTAAACAAGCCGAATTCAACTGACGGCATTTCCACTCAAAAATTTTAATTACTAAATAAATGATTTCTATATAAGTTAAAATATTAACTTTATGTACTAAAGTCATAGGCAAAAATCGAAGTTTAAAAAGCTTAGGCTTAAAAAGCACTCCAAAATTTAATGAAAGTTAAATGAATTTTTTTATACATTTCCGACAATGAAAAAGTATTTAAATTAAAGAAAAATGCACAAAATATTATGCTGATTGAAAATCGTTGAAAATAACATTAATATATAATTTTAATTGAAACGTCTAATACAAGAAAAACTAGCTCACAATAATATATTTAGAACCATAATGATCATTCACAAATTTATCTCAATTTTTTCGTGAAAATATAGTATCAAAATATACGAATTATAATATATTTCCTAAACTGGTTGCTAATGTATTGAAAATAAATATAAACAAGTGACTGCTCGAAATGTTTATAAAATGATTGATTAAAAGTTATTTATTTTTGATAATTAAAAAAAAAATATGTATTTTTGATTGTCCAACAGTTTTACACTATTGTTATCAAAAACGATAAATAAATCGGTAGTTGATAATTTTATTTGAATATTATCGCTGCAATATAGAATTAAAATAATTTCTAAGCAAGCCCTTCGATTTTTATAGAAATTTTAATATCCATTGGAGAATATGATTATTAATAAAAGGTAGACAAATTTTATCCGCCGATCCCAAGTACTTGGGATAATGGCTAGGTAAAAATGAAGTAGACAAAATTTATCTATTTCTGTGATCGACTTTATTTTTAATATTGATTACGGGTATATCCATAATACGATATTAAATTTCCATTTAATTTGAAATGTATTTATCGTCATTATTTTATCATATTTTTTTTTTATACGATTGCCCCTTCGATATTATACTTAAAGTTCAATACAAGTCATACAAATGTTACTAAAACGATTCTTTAGAATAAACGTTTTTCCTGAATAGAACATAAAAGGACGCACCAAATAACACTTTATATTCGATCAGAATTCAAAATTGTGCATATAAGTGTTTAAGAGATAGTCTCACGTATTAAAATCTGTAATAGAATTTCATCTGTACACGTGGTATTTGCCTATTAGTTATTTACATTAACGACAATATTAGTATATTACCCCGTCATAACGTAGTATATAAGTATATAAATAGTTATACAATATTTAATTCTGTTTTTATAATATTAATATTGTTTAATAATGCTTATATTAAGCGATTTAATATATCATTTTTTTGAATTAAATTAAAATCAAAAATCAAGAAATATTATAAAAAAAGACATCTTCAAAGAAAATTTTACATGTGGACAATTAAAAAATTTATATCAATTATATATAAATAAATAATAGACTCAAATAATTAAAAAAACCCAGCACAAGGGGGTCGCGGCACAGTGGTGACGTAGCATAGTTGGATCAAGTATAATGATATCTGACTGTGATTAAAATCCTTATCAAAAAAAAAAAAACGCTTCCATGCAAATCTTTAGATAGTGTTTAATTTTAAAAAATTGGTGGATTGTTCCAAAAGCTACATGATCTGCTAGTTCCTTATTAATATCCTGATTAAGATAAAGTAAGTCGAATGAAAAAGGGATTATTAAAGAATATTATTTCTCATAATAAAATTGTGTTGATCCATACACTTTTCAATAAGTTATAGCATTATAAAGTTAAAAATGTAAAAAATAAAATCGAGAATTTTCACACAAAAATAGCATTTGGTAGCTATTTTCTTCGTGAAGATAAAATAAAGTCCGAATTTTTTTTTTCCATGATGAAGTATATTTTAGTAGCTTTAATTTAAAATATATATATAAGTGTCAGAATTTCCGGAACATTTTCAAAAGTTGAAAAAGTTGTCATTTTGAAACCCTTCCTGTGGACTAGTAAAGGGTCAAATGTTCACAAAAATATATAAAATGATAGGTAAATACCTAAGGTATCTATAAAAGAAAAAAAAAATTAATCATTCGGTTATTTTTAAAAAAGTTATGGCAATTTTAAGTAAAAAAAAATTGGAAAAATTTCGAAAATTAGTGATTTTTAAATTTGTAATTTTTTGATGGATTTCCCCCGTTTACGGGAAACGAGGGAGTTTTTTTTACAAATTTTGAGGGTAATGTCTTCGACTAGATACGATTTGTGATCTTTTGAAATTGAAAATTTTATTCTAACTCAAAAAAAATGCAAAATATTAATGGACACAGGCGGATGCGAACCTCATACCCTTAGCGTGGAAGACACAAGTGTTACTGATTCGGCAAATGTTTGTCGCTTTCGTCGCTTGATAAAATTAGCAATTAAGTTAAGTCAAATTTAAAAGTTACTTTTTCGACTTTAAAAAAGTAAAAAAATTGAAATAAGTTTAATTTCTTATGTCTTATGAACTTTATTCTATGTCATTTAAATTATATAATATTCATGAAAGTCAGTGTATTGCCCTTATATGATATTTTAAAATAAAATAAAATACAAAACCCTGGATTTTAACATAAAAATAGCATATTTTTGAATACGGTAGCCATTTGCGCATAGAAGATAAGTCGTCGGACAATTTTTTTTTTTTAATTTTATAGTACATGACATAAGCTTTAATTTTATATATGTTGAAAGGACGCAATATTTCCGGTACATTTTCAAAAGTTAAGTTGAAAAAGTTCTATTTTTTATACAATGTTTTAAGTTTTGAACACCCCCTATATAAGGGGAAATTGACCAATATTAATAAAAAGTATGTCAAATAAAAGATTTACTTATAGTGTATTTAAAAAAAAAAATTTGTGCTGATACATACATTTTTCGAAAATTTATAGCATTTTAAAGTTGAAAATTTAAAATCAAAAATTTTAACACAAAAATACCATTTATTCAAATACAGCAGCCGTTTGCATGCAGAAGATAAAGTGTCGGGACAAATTTTTTTTTTCATTTTATAGTACATGACATAAGCTTTCATTTGGTATATGTTATTTAAAATTTAAAGGACGCAGTATTTCCGGAATATTTTCATAAGTTAAGTTGAAAAAGTTAGTTATTGTAAAAAAGTTACTATTTTAAATCCCCCTCGTTGAGCAGGTTAAGTGTTAGATTTTCAAAAAAATGATATCAAATGAAAGGTAAATATTTAAGGTTTTAATATAAAAAAAAATTATGTTGATTTGTTGATTTTTGAAAAAGGTATAGAAGTTTTAAGAAAAAAAAGTGAAAAAAATTTACCGATTTTTAGTAAAAATTTTAAGTAAAAAAAATTGAAATAATGTCAAAAATTAGCGATTATTAAATTTTTATTTTTTTGGGGGGGATTTCCTCCGTTTACGGTGAACGAGGGAGTTTTTTTTACAAATTTTGAGGGTAATGTCTTCGACTAGATACGATTTGTGATTTTTTGACGTATTGTTGAAAGAAATCGGTCCAGTGAGAGCTGAGAAAAAGTAGTGACAGACACAAAAAAAAAAAAAATTAACACATCATGTTAAAATTAATACCTTCTCAGCTTCGCATCGAAGCTAAAATATTTTCCGTCCTTTTTGGCGATACCACTAATTGTACTAAATTTTTTATTGTATTGATATGTAACTCAATTATAGATAGTTTTTTCGTAATATTATCGAACATTAATATCAAACAATTTTTTTATCAATATTCGAAATATTTTCTTTACTAATTAAGATTTCTCTTTTCAACATCATAATTTGATGAGTTAAGAAAATTGTTAACTTTCCCATTAAAATTTATAAATTAAACAGCTGTTCATATCATAAGACTGAAATGATGAATGGGGGGAGTAACTGACTTGCCTGTCTTAATTGAATGGGTGCTAACTATAATAAAGAATGCAAGCCTGGAACTTCCAATTTATCACCAAATAATAATATATGACAGCTAAAGATAAAAATTAGCAAACTATGTAAGGTATGTAAAAACTTAATGATAAGATTGTTAATAGTTTATAATAAAATTGTCGAAACTACTATTTGATATGATTTTTCGACTTTCTTGTATTGTTATCTGTAGTTTTTGCTTCAATGGAACAAACTATACTTTTTTTTCTTTTAGAGTTAATAATAATTTATAAAACCTTAATAACCTATTATTTTTGAGCTTAAATAACATCTGTTTGCCACTATTTTTAAAAATCAAGACACAATTAATTAAAAATTAACTAAAAAATATTAACCAAATGTTTATGTTTTTCTGCCATGATATTTAAAATTATTTCTTTCCGTCACACTCGCGCACTTATAATCGACCCTTTGACGATACTGAGTTGGGTTCTATTGTGATTTGTGCTTTTCATCATTGCACCTACAGTTGCCTAGGAAGTGGTTAATTGTTTTAACGTATGTGTTTTTCATCTTTGTTATGTACTTAAATAAGTGATTACACGCATACCTACATATTCGTATTCTACCCATTCTTCTAAATTAATTACTACTACGTACTTGAACAAAAGTCATAATTATTAACAAGATTTTTGAATTTTATTAACTGTTGAAATAGAAAATTTTATGTTTGTGAACAATGTCATAGAAATTATAGTTCCAGCAAGTTAAAACATAAATTGAAAATACTGATGATAATTCGGCCAATCAAAACTAGCTAATGCTGATAATATGTTCGTAAACCAACTAAATTTAGTAATGTACTTTCTACTTAAAAAAGTGATGTGAGATTTGTTAATTAGCTAACTATGATTATGATTATATTAGATTTAGAAATATTGAAATAATTGACCGAATGTTAAAATGAAAAGAGATTCTGCCAAAAAATTGATTGAACGTTATTTTTATTTGATTACGGAAGGCTGTGGAAATGTTGATTGTAAAAATGATTACTGTGCATCCAGTGAAAAGGTTTGTAACTACTAGGTATTAATTAAATTACTATTATGTGTAAAGCTGATATAAAATATATTACCATTCAGATAAATTTGAATGTAATAAAACATTTGGATAAGATATTTCTATAGGCTTTAGTGAAATAATAAGGTGAAGTGGAGTAATTGTAAATTCATTTTTTTTCTTTAAATATTTAAAGAGATATTATTTTAGATTGAACTGTTTTGGCACTTATATATGTTGATATTATATTTAATGCAAGTTTGAAATAAAAACTTGTGAATTTATTTAAAAAAATACATTTAAAATTACACACTACAGCTTACTAGATATTAAGTTTAAATTTTTGGTGGATTAGTTAATGTATTTTTTGTAATTACTATCATGTTCCTTCTATTGTTTCTGTCTTACTGTTTTATAAAACTCACTATCCTATAAAAGAGTCATTCAATATATTTAGTATTTATATTGGATTCATAAAATAATGATTAATTTTAAATAAATAAATATAGATAAATATTAAACTTAAATAACTTTTATAGTGTTTTTAATAAGATAAAAAACTTTAATATCTATTTAATTTGTTTTAATTTGTATTTGTTTATATATTCAACCAAAAATTTATTTGAATTTAAGTGAATTTTTCATAATTTTAAATAAAATAACTAATATTATTACTAGTTGATGTATTATAATAGTATTATATTCATATATATTTATATATACATTAACAAAATTGTCTTATATTGGCTATATATATATCTCCTAAGTTTCAGATAACTTGAATAAATAAAATTAAAGATCTGACTTACTTTGAATAAAAGTTATTCAATTTTATGTTTTCTAATTGTTTTAAAGATAAATTTTAAAATTATCAACTTAAGACAAATTTATTATATATATTCCTAACATAACATTTCAATAATTTATCAATTTTAAAAAATATGTTTATAGTCTAACAAAGTCTCTGCTAATGATGCTGCTGCTCTTGCTATTCGTCTTTTTCGTCTAGATGCCAGACTATGTGATGAACATCCTATAAAAGTTGCACGTACAACTGACAATCCATCAATATCGGGAAATTCTATACAGGAAGCTACAACTTCATTTGCTTGTAGTAGTAGTAGTAGTTGTGCACAAGATATTCGTCGTTTATCTCATGATGCTTGTGTACAAACAAGTTCTTGTACTGTTTTTCAAGTAAATCCTGTACATACATCTGAATTATCAAGATCATTATCTGATACCCAAATTACCCAAAGTACCCTTCCTTGGTCATCTGTAGAAAGTGAAAGTGATCCTACCCCCTTTATAGTAAGTGTAGAATCAATGGCTAAAGAATCTCCATCTATCATCAAAGCAGAGTCTGTGGATCAAAAAAATGAAGATTCATCTATAATAGCTAAAGATGATGAACTGAAAAAATTGGATACCAAAACTGAGCCTCATGAACAAAATAGTTCTACAAATCTTTCATCAAATAAGGATATTCTAGACCGTTTAGATGTAGCTTCATTAAGCATGCCAGAATCGGTCGATTTAAAAAACTTGGATATTTTAAAAGAGCCATTAAGACATGTTACTAATTGTCAAACAAGTAAGTTTATTATTATTATTAATATAATATATAAAACAAATTCTGAGTAAATCTGTGATTATTAAAACAAAAAACTACAGATAACTCAAAGATATTATTTATAGTTTATTATACATTATTGTGGTTTTTTACAGATATTTACCTATATATATAGGTAAATTGACTACCAATTTTAATTAATTGCTTTTATTGTGTTAATTATTTACGGAAAATTTTTGTATCTTCTTTAGATTAAGGATTGTCAGTTGGGATTGAACTTGTGTTGTAAATGTAAAATAATCTTAAAAAAATTTTTCCTTAAACCTTAAAAAGTTGAAAAAAAAAACAATTTTCCTTAAGCTTTGACTAATCAAAATTCTACCGTATTTATAGATTTATAAACTAATCAGTTTCAATCAAATTGGGTCAATGTTTTACAAAATTTTTATTAATTTTCTTTGTGTTTATTTTTATAAAAATTCATAAATAAAACTCTGTACAAAAGGTCAAGAAGCAATCTTTTTATAGCTTAGCTGGCACAAAGTCAATAATTGTTATTATGTAAATGTGTTAATTTTTAAACATATTTATCAAAATCTGAAATATGTAATGAGTTTTAATTTTCTTTACTAAAATAAAACCTTTTCAATTTTAAAAATATTTTTTAATTTTTAATAAAATCTTGAGTCTCAAAATATATACAAAACATCGTATATATGTAAACTTTGAAGGCTTATTCAAAATTTGGCAAAATCTCAAAACATGCGTGTCTGTTATTTAGCGTATTATTTTATGAATTTTGGCAACAAAGAATTTCATGTGTTTCTGTTTCTTTGTATTTTCTTTTGAATATACTTGTGTATATATATATATATATATATATATATTTACAATATGTTTATTTTATACTAGTACTTTTATGTAAATTGAAATTCAAGTTATTATTTAATGTTATATTTAATTTATTGATTATTATCAATGGTTTCAGGTATCAAATATTTAAATGAAACTAATGTAATTGAGCTTACAAACAAATGTAAAATAATTGATCCACTAACAGATAATAATGAGTTATTATGTGCTCTTTATCAAGTTTATTCATCACCAGAATCTTTGGGCAATAGTTTTTTAAAACAACATCCAAAACACAAGAAAAACACTCTCAAACTTTATAATAGAGCTAAAACTGCTTTTACAAATATGACCAAAGAAAATGTAGGTGTTTGAAAACTTACAGAATATAAAATAGTATAACATTTTTGGTAATTTTCATGTAGATTCGTCAAATGGAAGTTGAAAAAGAATTGGATGATAATTCTATTGATGAAGAGGAAGAAGAAAATCAAGAGAAAATTTCTGAAAAAGAGTTGGACATAGAAGGTCTATCAAATGCTTATAAAGCATTAAGTAACATAAAAAATGATGGCTGTTATAAAGACATATTAGTTCTCGCTATAAGTTCATTATGTGGTTAGTTAATAAATATTTTATTATAATATTAATACTATATGTTAAATATATAGAGATAATAAAAATAACAAAATGAATTTAATGGTAATAATATTAATACTATTTAATAATATATTTAATGTATTAATTAACAATTATTGTTAATTAAAAAAAAATACCTAGTAACATAAATCAATTTGTTTAGGATAAACAAAACCATTTTTAAAATACTGTTAGCAATTAAAATTAAAATATTAATGATTTCTTTTACTGGATATTGGCATATAAATCACTACCTTTCACAAAAAATAAAAATTGATTTTTTGAACTTACTTCCATTTTATGTAATTTTCTCAATTATTGTTAAAATTAATTTTAAAAAATTATAACACATTTAAAAAAAAAAAAACCCAGCACAGGGTAGTTGCGGCACAGTGCTGACATGGTATAATTGGGTCAAGTATAATGATACCTAACTCTGATGATTTTATGATAGTGATGATAATCACTATCATAAAAAATTCTTCGATGCAAATCATTAGATAATGTTTAATTTTAAAAAATTGGTGGATTATTTCAAAAGCTACATGATCGCTAGTTCCTTATTAATATCCTGATTAGTAAATAAAGTATATTAAATGAAAGAGGGATATAAATATTATTTCTCATAAAAAAATTGTATGATCCATACACTTTTCAATAAATTAAAGCATTATAAAGTTAAAAATGTAAAATATAAAATCCAAAACTTTCACACAAAAATAGCCCTTTTCACCATAAAGATAAAATAAAGTTCGAAATTTTTTTTACCAAATGCTATTTTTGTGTAAAAATTCTGGATTTTTATTTTACATTTTTAACTTTATAATGCTATAACTTATTGAAAAGTGTATGGATCAATACAATTTTTTTATGAGAAATAATATTTAAATCCCTCTTTCATTCGATATATTTTTTTAAATAAAACCATTTTCCTTTATATATTTATTCATATATTACACTTATATATAAATCATAAAACTTGTAATCAGGATATAAATATAGAAATAGGAGATCATGTAGCTTTTGGAATAATCCACCAATTTTTTTTAAATTAAACGCTATACAGATTTGCATCAAAGTGTTTTTTTATGATAGTTATTTTAATAACTATCAAATATCATTATACTTGATCCAACTATATCACATCCCCAATGTGCCGCGACCCCAGTGTGCTGGGTTTTTAATCCTGAGTATTAATTTATATTGAATCCTTTAATATATAGTATATAGTATATATTATTTATATGTTTATTTTTCTATTTTTTCTAGCTAAAGTTACAGTGGAATTACAATTTTTGAAATCTAAATCATATCCTATAAGTGATAAATATTTAAAGGATGTGGTACATTCACTAAAAATAATATATGAAATGCCATTTTTGGATGATTTCATATTTGTTGAAAGAATTGTACCTAGATTAGTTGCAGCTACCTGTGTCCTACCTATTGCTGAACAAGCAAAACTTGCGAGATTTTGGTGTGATGTATCTAGTGAAAACACTTTAAGAAAGATTTTACATTGTCTCCAAGAAGTAATAACATTTCAGTTAATATCTGCTGAATATGATGCAACTTTTCAAGAAGAAACTACTGTAACATCTGCCACAAAAACTATGAAGGTTATTTTATTCCCCTACATCAGCATGATTTTAACTTATACATAAATTTTTTTTTAGATTTTATATTATGCTAGTATAATGGCTGGTGAATGTGACAGACCCACCAATAAAAGTGAAATAAAACCAATTGAAAAAGCAGAAAAAAGAACTGAAGACATTAGAGATGAAAATCTTTTAGAGGATATTTTAGTTAATCCAAACCCAAAAAGTAAAACAAACAAAAGTGATCCTCTTGCACAGATATTAAATGTAAGTAAAAAAATTGATTAATTATTATTTTGTTTCTTATATTTCAGTTACCTTACATTTAATGTTTTTATTATTCATTACTTTTAATTTTACAAATTTATTTATCATTTTATCTTCGATGCGAAGCTGAGAAGGTATTAATTTTACTATGATGTGTATTTTTTTTTTCATTTATTTTTTTTTTTGTGTCTGTACCACTTTTTCTCAGCTCTCACCAAACTGATTTCTTTTAATGATACGTCAAAAGATCACAAATTGTATCTAGTTAAAGACATTACCCTCAAAAATTAAAAAAATTTCCCTCGTTCCCTGTAAATGGGGGAAATTGCAAATTTAAAAATTGCTAATTTTCGAAGTTTTTTCAATTTTTTTTTTAATAGATGCATAATTACCTATCATTTGATATATTTTTTTTTATAAATTTGACCCTTACCTGCCCACAAAAGGGGATTCAAAATGACAACTTTTTCACAAAAAAATTAACTTTTTGAAGTGTTCCGTAAATACTGACACTTTTATATATATTAAATTAAAGCTTATGTAATATACTTTATTATGGAAAAAAAATATTTTGAATTTTATTTTGTCTTCACGGTGAAAATGGCTACCGTATACTATTTTTGTGTTAAAATTCTCTATCTTATATTTTACATTTTTAACTTTAAAATGCTATAACTTTTTGAAAAATGTATACTATATATTATATAGTTATATATACTAATTAACCAACTTTTTTTTTTTAATAGTCTTTAAATAGAGTTTGATGATAAGTATTTTAAGTAAATTTACAAATGATATACAAATGATGATAAAACATTTGTCATTATAGAAAAACAGTAATTCAGAAAAAAAATATTTTTATAATTAAAGTTAAAACTGTAAAACTTTAACAATGAAAACAAACATATTCATTTATTAGTTTTAAAAGTGGTATAAAGGGACCTCTTATTCTCGGTATAATAATATTTTAAGTTTTTTAAATATTAGTTCTTTGTTGGATTAAAGAAAAAAATCACACTATGGTTTATGCTAACTTATTTAGAGCATAATATTAGAGATTTTGAACTATTTTATATACATTGTCTTCTTATATCTACATATATATATACAATATTAAGAAATGGTAATATTAATGATATATTTTTATAGTATTTGTTTTAACATGTTTAATATATTCTGTTATTCTGCATATTCTCTTTAAATCTGATTCTTTTTCTTTCATAAACATTTTAAACTCTTACTTAATTTATTGATTGTATTAGCATGTGTATAATATATATATCATAATTTAATACATAACTTTCACTTTTTATAACTTTTGATATAATTATAATTTTGTTAAAAATTTTAAGATTATCAGTATTCTAATAATGTATTTTTTAGATTAATATATTGTCATGTCGTGCACCACTCATACCTATATCCAAATTTTACAATGAGTTATTAAGTGATGCTCTTGAAATGGATGATGATTACCAAACTTGGAGAGAAAATGGCAATGATAAATTTTCTTTTATGACTCATTCATTCATTCTCACGCCAGCTACTAAAACATTAGGTCTTTATTATGATAACAGAATACGGATGTATGAAAATAGACGGTTCTGCCTTATTCAAACTTTAATCGGCCAACCAACTCATCCTTACCTCAAATTAAAAGTTAGAAGAGAACATGTTGTTCAAGATGCTTTAGTTGAGGTAGATATAATTGTTGATATTTAAATGAAGTATAAAAAAATGTAATTTATTTAGCTTGAAATGGTTGCCATGCAAAATCCCTCTGATCTCAAAAAACAGTTAGCAGTCGAATTTGATGGAGAACAAGGAGTTGATGAAGGTGGAGTGTCTAAAGAATTTTTTCATCTAATTGTAGAAGAAATATTTAATCCTGATTATGGTAATTTTCTTCCTATTTCTATTTTATACTCTTGAAAGAATTTAATGAAAAATAAAAAAGATGTAGCAACTAAAGATCTTTAGATCTTTAGTTTTATCTTTACAAATCTTTAAAACATAAATTATCTATTCAACTGACTAGTAAAAGATTTTAAAATATCATATTTCATAATGAAATATTTGATCAATGAAATATGCATATGTGTGTTATTTTTTAAATAAAAATTATATTACAAAAATTAAAAAAAAAAAAAAAATTCAGTACAAATAAAATTGTTATTTTACTATTTTTAATGTTTATTGTAGGTATGTTTGTTATAATGAATTCAGAATCTGGTAATCCTACATATTGGTTTAACTCTTTTTCTTTTGAAACTGCTGCTCAATATACTTTAATTGGACTTATTGTTGGTCTTGCTATTTATAATAATGTAATATTAAACATTAATTTTCCTATGGTTGTTTACCGAAAACTGTTAGGAAAACAATGTACTTTCAATGATTTACAAGACTGGAATTTAGTAAGCATCAAAAATATTATGTGTATCATATTTAAAAATATAAATATACTATTCGAATAAAAATTTATGACATTAATTATAATTAATATTATATCATTAATAATTAATAATAATATTATTGTAATTAATATGTAAAAATGTTAATATTAACACATAATACTTTTTTAGGAATTGTTTAATGGTTTGAAAAATTTATTGGATTATGAAGATGATGATATAGAAGAAATGTTCATGCAAACTTTTAGAATATGTTACAAAGATGCATTTGGTGAATTAGTATACCATGACCTTAAGGATAATGGAGATCAAATTACAGTTAATCATATTAACAAAAGAGTAAATTTACCATAAATAATAAGTAAATATTTGTTTTATATAATTTTATATATTTACAGGAATTTGTTGATAAATATGCAGATTTTTTGTTAAATGAGTCAATAGGAGTTCAATTTAATGCATTTTACCGTGGTTTTCAAAATGTTATGGAAGAATCACCTTTGCAGCATCTCTTTTGGCCTGAAGAACTTGAACAAATTGTGTGTGGTAGCAAAGTAAGTTAATTTTTAGTTTTAAGCATCATTTTATCAAGTAATTTTTCCTTTTTTTAAATATTTTTTATAGGTTTTTGATATGTCAGATTTAGAAGAAACTACTCTTTATGAAGGAGGATATCGTAAAAATACTCCAGTCATCAGGTGGTTTTGGAATTTTGCACATTCACTGCCTAGGGCCTCTCAACAAAAATTACTACAGTTCACAACTGGAAGTGATAGAGTTCCAGTTGGTGGATTAGGAAAACTGAAATTAACCATTACTAGAAATGGTTCAGATTCTGACAGGTATATATTATGTTTTCCAGTAAAACATATTAATAACTTTCGTTATTATTCAATCAAATATAGTAGATTGAATTAAAAGTGCATATCTCCAAAATTTGTGTAACTTTTTATCTGAAATATATTTTGTACATAAATAAATGTTTCCCAACCTTTTTAACATAATGGTCACCTTATTAGTTGTTATATGACTCTTACCATAGGTGCACTTTTATTCAAACATGGGATATATTTTAAGTTTATAAAATTAAAAAATTAAATAAAAATTTTTTTTTACTTGTTTATCAATGTATGCTTTTATAAACAAGTATGTATTGTTATTGATTTAATATAAGTATTATAATGTAATAGGTTACCCACTGCTCATACATGTTTCAATGTTCTTTTGTTACCTGAGTACAATAGTCAAGAAAAATTGGATGAACGTCTTTCAAAAGCTATAAACTATGCAGAAGGATTTGGTATGATATGAATGAACCAATCAAAATTTGTGCAAGTTAAAGTAGATTGAAAGTAAAAACAATTGTTTTTTTATTCCTGTTTATCTTCTATTGTAATTATTATTATTAATGTATAAGTGTAATGTTGGATTATTAAAATGTTATATTATATGTGAATGTGTTGTTTATTATCTAATGATCAAATAACTTTTTAAAACCTAGCATACTACAAAAATTAAATACAAATAATATATAATACTTATAAAATATCATTTTATAAGAAATGATATTTAAAAATTAATTATAGAAATCTTGCAAATATTTTTAACAAATATTGTATATTATTTTTCTATAGTCTTTCATAACATTTTATACCAATTAAGCAAAAAAATTAATGACCGTTTCATATTGCCACCACTGTAAATATGAAATATAATACAAACAAAATAATTAATATATAATAGAACAAGGAAATAATTAATATTATACTGAATTAAATCAAACTGAAAATTGTGTTCTTTTATCTTTTAGTCACATTGATTGAATTATTTTAATAATAAATAATAAAAATTCAAGAAAAACTCAATTCAAAACAAATTTTTTTACAATATATATAATTTAACAAAAATAACCATTTATTATTCAACAATTACATGTAATTTATCAAAAACTTATTCATAATATAATAATAAGGAATGTGAATATTAAATTAGATAGATTTTAAGTAAATAGGAAATTCAGAAAAAAATAAATTGCACATAAAAAAAAATAATTTGATGAAAAATACTTTATCCTTTTCATTAATGATAAGTAGAAATAGCCTTTTAAAACACACGACCCTGTTAACACCTTTGCAAAAATATATTATAGTTCATCATGTGGAATGCTGAAAGACTCTAGGATATTAAGACGTATGCTCATATCTAATTTTTTTTCTTCAGCTAAAGATCCTTTAAGAATATTTTTAACCCGAACAGTTTCTATCTCAAAAAATGTGTCACCTTTTTCAAGTGCTTTCCTCATGGTTTTTACATAAACTTCAGCTGACTTTTGATTTTGTTTTCCTTCAGTAATATCCCATAGCTGTTCTGCTTGTAATAACAATTGTTTACGTTTCTCTGTTAATTTTTCTTTAGAAAACTGAGTTGCTAAATGGTCAAATTTTTCTAATGTTCCAGGAAGACCTATGTATACAACAGATTTACTATATTTGGCAATAAATTTTTGCAATTTCTCTAAATTAAAATCTTGATCCGTAAATGTTAAAGGTTCCGAGGATCCCAATATAAATAATTTAACTGAAGGCAAATCCTCTTTTGATAATCCAAATCTTACAATACAAAATTTAATTAAAATTAATATTAAAATAATAGTAAATTTAATTAATAATAAACATTTAAAATATACCTAGATGCTAAATCTTCATTTTCTTTATCTCCATAATCCTTGACTGGAACATCAGCTATTAATAAGTCATCTACTGACTGATAAGCAGACCCAAGTTTGACAAATTCTTCATGTTTTTCTCCATAAGGATAAGCGACATCAAACTTTACAATTGAAACTTTAAATTTAGATAAGATCTATAACAAATCAATTTAAAAATTTTAATTGACTAAATAAATTATAAGAAAATTAAATTCTTATTAATTTATCCATAATAATAGTTAGTACTTATATTTAATGTTTAAAAAATGATGATAAAATTTATTTGGTAAATATTTTTTACCTTGTCAAAAGTATAAGAATCTAAGGATACTATTCCTTTTGTCTGGCTACCAGAGCACAGGCTCAATATTATAAATAATGTACCAATGTTCCACAGTAAATACATTTTTTTTTTTAATATTATTAATAAGTATAATAATCTTCTATTTTTTCTAACAAATTTAAGTTACTTTTTTAAAGTATTATAAATATAAATTTTACACGTACATAATTCATTGATAAAGATCTGCCACCGGCAATGTTAAACCATGGTACCGACAATACAGCAATTATTTTTTATTAAATAATATACTTAACACACGTGCGTCTCTTACTGATAATGTTATCAAAAATACTAAATATTTTGATTTTAAACACAAAAATAAAAAAATTGTATTTCTCCTTTCTATGAATTTTTAAAAATAACTTAAAGTTTAAAGCAATTAAACAGTAAGTAAAATAATATAATGTAATTATTGAATGATATAAAAAAACTCCAAAGAATTTTACTATATTAATGAAAATTATTTATATTAAAATCATATAACTTATGGTAATTCATTTTTAATCAATTTATTTTTGAATATTATTTAGTTTTTATTTTTTTTCTTAACGATACTTTTATTAGACCACATTATTTTCATAGATGAATTTTAAACTTTAATGAATAATTGATAAAAATTATTTTATTGTATGAATTTAAGTCATTTGTACCTATTTCATAAATAATGATATCTAATTATAATGTAGAATGAATAATTCTAATAATGGTTCTAGATACAATTCCCATATGTAGAACCATTATATAAGAGTTGTAAATTTGCTTCCTGAAACAAAATTATTTCTTTCAATTTCATGTTCATTTATTTTTGAATGAAAATAAATTTCTATATCTTTAACAGATTTAATGTTTATGATATATTCATTAGGTAAACAATTACAGGAAAATGATATTTTATGATAACTAATAACTAATGTTTTAATGTTAGTTATAATTTTAGTCCAATACTATAATTAATAACACCATTGTTAATATTTTTGAGTAAGTACTGATAATGTTTGAATAATTATTATCAATTACACTTTTATAACACTAATAAGTTCCAATATTTAATTTAAAAAAAATTATAGTTATTTTTAAAACTCTTAAGTTTAAATTTAAAATAAGATCTTAAATATTATTAGATTAAAGGAGCTTGAGGAGTTTTTTAGGGGAGGAGAAAAGCTTTAAAATAGTAATGTTTTAATTCTAATAATTTTGAGAATGATGAAATTTTTGCAATGTAACTTAATCTTTTTATTTTTCCTCGCCTTCATCTTAACTACTTGGGATTGGTTACTTTTATCCTAAACTTCTTGACACAATCACATTCAATAATATCTTTCCATCTTATTTTTATTCTTCCTCTACCACTTCTTCCTTCAACTACATTTCCATAACTGTTCTTACATCTTCCGACTCCTCCTTTCATAATAAAACCAAACCATCTAAGTTTATTTCCTCTTATCTTATCCACGATTGACACTACACTTTTACTCCCATTCATATGTTTGATTCTTATTCTATCTTCTCTAGTCACTCCACCCGTCCATCTCATCTCTGCTCTATTCTTTTGTCAACCAACCAATACTCTGATTCATACATCATAGCTGGACCCAGTATAGTCTTATAGATCATTTCAGCCTTATAAGAATTCTCTTATTGCATAACACACCGAATTTCACCCACCCACACTTGATCCTACATCTTACATTCTCATTAATATTACTGTTCTTTTGTACAACTGAACCTAAATACTTCAAACTTTCACCTCTCCTATCACATCCTTGCTTACTGTAACTGAAATGTAACTTAATAATAAATATAAGAATGTTTTTGATTCGTTCATTTGCGTTTATATAAAAATGCATACCTATAATTTAAAATTAATGTTGACTATGAATTATTTTTAAAAAAATATTATTTTGTCTTAGTATAGCAGCAATAAAAAAAAATTTTTTTTATACTTTCTATGTATAATTTCCTGGAAATATGGAAGTGCTCCTCCAAACCCCCCACATGTGCCAATACTTTCAAGCTCAATATGTGTTTTACAAAAACATTTTAATGAATGTTATCATGATTAAATTTTATTTTAGTGAGTGTGAATACAAATACATTCTTTTTGGAAAAAATTAATTTTGAATGTAAATGAATTCGTTTCTTTGATGAATTTTCCAAACCTGCATAAAAAATTAAGTATAAATTTTGTTTCATTAAATATTTTTTTACTTTTTGATTATTTTAGTTTTGTCATTAATTTTAAAAGAAAAGTTTACTGTGATGAATTGATTTAGTTCACATTTTATTTAAGGAACTTGAATTTGAATTATTTAATTTTTAAGAAAGACTTTCTCATTACTGTAAATTAGTCATATTTTTAGAATATTTATACTGTAGAAAAAAAATGTGATTAAGACCTGATGTCTATTTCAATGGAAATAATTTAACGATTTTTTTAACAGTAATAAACATAACATGTTTAAAAATAATAATATTATTTTTCTTTTGTATTAAATATATATTGTAATTAAAATTTTATCAATTTAAACCAAAATAATATTCTGTATTTAAGAAAAAAATATATCAATTTAAATGGACATTAAGTGCCATGAGGATTTTAAGATTTGATGTATGTCTTTTAATTGAACGTCTTTCATCTATATATTGGATGTATACTTATTTGTTATGTAGGATTCATTATTGAAAGAATTTCTATACTTTATGCATAATGTATAGAATTCCTTCTATAAGTACCTTACAGCATTGTCCTCCAACTATAATTCTCTACCGCGAACTTAAATGAAAAAATCTTATGAGGTCCACGCTAGGTGAACTAGGGTTTATCAGTCGAAAAATAAGAATAAAAAAAATTTTCCTGTTATAAAGCCTATTTTGTATGAAACACTACTCTTTAATACATTTCTATTCATATATAATTAATTAATAAAAATAATTCTGCCTCCATAAAAACTTGTGACTAGAACGCTTCTTCAAATAACTATACCGGAGCTTTATTATTGGAAGGGTTTATTAGTTATATTATTGTTTTAAAATATGTGTTTGTGTAATAATTTAAAGGTAAACAAAAATCATGTCAGATAGTTCGTCTTCTGAAGATGAAATCAATAAAAGAATTCTTCAGGATTCTATTGATAAAGAACTTTTAACTAATGATATGTTCACCAAAAAAAAGTTGACGACCAATTCTAAAAGTAAACATAAAGAAAAAGAAAAATATTTCTAAGTCAATGAAAGGCTTGCTGCAAACAACCTAAAACTTCTTTTTTAATTGTTTGTGTGGATAGTTTTCGTAAGCTCCCTTATTCACCAGATTTAAAAATAGTGCCCCCGCCCTCAATGTATGTAGGGCCTCTCGGGTTCCTGTGCCTTGTACATACAACATATTTTGACATTGGGTACAACAAACTTCTATGTCGGACAATAATGGCTATATTTAAAAGTAAAATAATTTGTTTTGTTTATGTAAAAAGTTAAAATACCAAAAAAATTCTAATTGTTGCAGCAAGCTATTTAATTATTAATTGACAAATTACCAAATAACTTATTTCTTGAAAACTCATAAAGTATTTCTACATATTGTCTTCACTAAATATGATCGTCACCCTTGTGCCAAAAATATCTAAATGCTTTTTATAGTTTCGAAAAAAATCAGTTTTTGTGTAATTTATAAAAACTAAAATAATACAAAATATTTAGGGTCAAGTGAGCAAATGTAAATTGTAAATTTATTATTCCTTTTAAAATATTCAGTAGATATTACACTTTAGATGAGACCATTCCAAACCCCAAGTATATAATTATGTTATTTAAGTATAAATAAAAAATAAGTATGCATCTCCTTTTAAAAATGTAATTACACTTACCCCACTTAACCCTAAATTGTATTCTTTTACGACTGCAAAAATTAATTATCACCCAAAATAATTTTTTTATTAATTGTTATGTAATTATAATTTTTTTTTTTTGTATTTTTATAAATATTAACATTTTAAATATTTATTTTATCAATTCGATGTTATTTATGAGGGTGTTATGAAGTGGTAATGTATGTTATCTCACTTAGTCATTTTTTACACTTGAACTCTTGGCATGAGGGCAACGGTATGTCTAATAATTAAACATTATTGATTACACAATTACAATTAAGTTATAAAAGTAGGTCCTGTAGCGTAATGAATATTTTATTCTGGAAAGTCTTTTATCCCCTCCATCTTATTTTCATTAGATATTTAGATTTGTCACCATGAATAACAGTTTGTTTATATTTAGATAGTTCTATTGAAAGTATTAAATCCTTCCAAGTTAAACCCTCTTTGAGGTATATCATAGAAGACGAAGGTCACAACCACAACTTCCTTAAAGTTACTCCTGACTTCCAAGAATATGTTGCTAAACATTTATTCAATCACTTAGAAAGGTATAATTTATTTTATTATAACAATCCTTTTTTCTCATTTCTATTATATTTAACTGTTATGTTATCAATCATTAACAATAATTTTTTAAGCTATAAAAATTTGAATCACGTAGTAATATAATAACATTGAAATTAAAACTCTGTAAGCTAAAAAATTAAAGTTAGCTTTCAAAGCAAAAATTATCATTGTTCATTATCAAAATAGAAAATATTGTAAATATTATGTTAATCTCACAGATCTATAAGACAACAATTTGTAGTTATAGATAATAAGCATAAAATAATTTTTTTTTTTGTGATAAATGTTACTTATTCTTTCTTTTTTATTTTATTATTAAGTTGTAAACTTACAAACTTGAATTTGAAATACTTATTCAGTACCAACTTGAGATTTTTTTTGTTTATTAAAAAATAATTAAATTAAAGAATACTTTTTATATTTAGAATTTTCGAGTATAGTTATGTGATAGAAACTCTCTTATTTAATATTACAGCCAAATAGTAGAGAAGAAGAAAAAAAGAAAAAATATGCCCGAAAACGGTGATGAAAAAAAAGGTATTCGTTTATTTAATAGCTCAACTTTATTAATGGGCGATGTGTCCTTTGCACCTAAATATAAACCACATAAAAGAAAAAAACATTGTAATAGTGATGATGAAAAGCTTATCAGAAGTCGTGCTAGCGAAACAGCAGTTTCTCCGCAACAAATTTTAAATAGAGAAGAAGTCAAATTTTGGGCAAAAGAAACAAAAGGTAAAATTGTAAAGGTTCGTCCCAACAAAGAAGGAACTTTTGATGTTATAAATGACATCTCTTGATTAATAAAACTATTCATTCACATAATAATTACAACTTTTTTTGTAAATATTTTCAATATTTATTTAGTATTAAAAAAACTGTCATCATCACGTTTAACCATGTACTCTTTACTTATTAATATTATCTTTAGGACATAAATTTGTACAAATTTATATGTAGTAAGAAATTTTAATACTATATTGTTTTAATAAATAGTTCGTTTTGTTCATGATACGGTGTTTTGTTTATTTCTAAGCGATTTTATAACGTTTATCATTATCCTACTTCTATAAAATTTTATAAAATAAAAGCTACTTATACAATTTTTAAGTGGTATGTTCGATTTAGCATAATGATGTCTGATTTGATAACATACTCGATGACGGTAAATGATTATGGTACAGGGTACAGACGTAGTTTAGCAACTCGATCACCATTCAACTACTTGTTTGGAAATTAAAAATCATTCGTTTGGTTTGTTAGCAGTCGGAATAATCCACATTGATCGATTAACGCAAAGCTAATAGATAAAGTGCCAACAGAAAATTATACAAAAAATTTAATTACATTTTATTCAACAATTTTTCTCGATTTCTATTTTACTAAAATATTTTTTAATTATAAAATCGATCATTCTAAAGTATCTTGACCTTCAGTTAACATTTGTCGTTCTCGAGAAAAACTAAGTAAGTATTTATTTTATTTCATTTTAGTTAGCGAAATTGCAGTATTTTCATACTCCAATTCATTAAGTACTTTTTAATGTCATACTTTATTTATTTATTTCAAAATTTTAATAAAATAAATAGACTGATAACCATTTTATTTTGATATTTTGACTAAGTCATCATAAAAATATTTCTCTTATTAAATAAATTATATTATTCAATTAATGTTTTTAACAATAATTTTTTAACTTTAAAAATCCATACTTTCAAAATAGATAGAAAGTTCACTTAAAAACTTTTTTAAATGTAAATATTATTCTTTATAGTCTAATAATATAGTCAGTTATTTTTAACACAACGCTTCCCTAAAATAATCTTTATTTTATTTTATTATATAACCTTACAATATTACTTATTTGTCATTCAAAAAATTACCATATCATAAACTTAATAAACGATATCACATTTTATTTTCAGTTCAAAATTTATGAAAAGTATATCCAATAACTGCTGTAAAAGAAATTACAATTTAATCTAAAAATTAAATATGTTTTTAAGTATTTTTGACAAGTTTTGTATTAAAGTGGATCTAAAAATTCAAAGTTTATTGTGTGGTATATTATTCTTATTATTAAAATATTTTATTTTTATTAAGTTATACAAAAAAAAAAAGTTGAACTAAAGATTAGTTATAAAATAACATTAAATCACTTAATTATCAGTTGATAGACGAACAAAAACGTCTTGTTACCTGCATCGTTTAATTTACGCTATTCCAACAATTAATCATTTAGGCCAAAGGTTTGTAAGATAATTTTGATAAAATCATATAGAAAGTATTAAAGGATTATTAACTATTATGTTTTATTAAATAAAACAATGTTACATGCTTAATATTACATTAATTTACAAATTGACTAGATGGGAATGCATTCCCAGGATTAAAAAAAGGATTGTAGATAAAGGGTTATTTCATAAAAAAATTAGTTAGAGAGGGACCCACGTTTAAAATATTTAACAGCTAATAAAAAGGGATATTCTCATGTCGGATCTAATAACTTAAACTAACGACCAGTATTTTTCACATACTTAGTGTTCATAAAAAGCTATATGAGGTTCTGTTCAGAAGAACACTATTCTATTTGTCATATGTAAACAATTCATTATTGATCTAATCCTACTACTCATTGCTTTTAATTTGTTTAATCAATTATAGAATAATCACATACTGCTTTCCTTTAAGGATAACTTTAAACCTTAAAAATAACTTATCCAATACGTTATTTCTAAAAGAGTTTGCGGTATTTAGTGGTATGAATAAAATCATAGCGAACAAGAATTTAAGTAGACCGTAAAGTATATGTTAAATATCTCCTTTTCGGAACTAGTTAATATGTTCTGTTATTATTTATTTTTTTGTTTAAAAACATTCAAATGGTTTTCATTTATATTAAAGCAGTACGTTTTTGCGGTTTGGCTCTGAGTACTTAGCCACAATTTCTTTCTCTAGGAGTCAGTTTTCTAAAGCCATTCAACCATAGTTATCCTAAACAAATCGTTATTTGGTTAGTTATGCTCATCTTAGGTAACCTTCAATTGTTGAACATGTTAAAAATGTCATATTTGACATTTTTTACCTTCAACAATCTGTCGATCAGATTTGACCAGATGATGCTAGGTAATTGAAAACGAATACTTTTATCTTGTTTTATTTTTATAGGTTCAATGTATCGTACTCAGAATGTCTATTTATAAGCCATGTGATTATTTAGTACGCACAGGTAACTTGTTGAAGGTTTTCGTTTACTCATTTTCTGAATTCCTTAGCCTTTTAAACGTCGCTTGTTCAACCCACTCCATCCATTGAATTTCTAACTCTCGTGTTTAATGTTCTAACAAGTTCAGAGCCATATATCTTGAAAAGGACAACGTATCCTAGTGCTACCCTAGCTACGACATTTGTTTGATATTAATAAAAATAAAAGTTTAATTTTTGAAAGTGGTAGTAAATAAAATTATATGTGTCATTAGAGTTTAAGTGAAAGCAAGACTCGTCTGATTGGTAATCTGTGATTATTCTCTTTATAATTGTATGATTGAATATGGTTGATTGAATTTATAATGTAAAGTGTAAACACGTACGGAGAAATCATATCGCATTAGGATTTTATGTCACCGCAATAGCTTACGGATCTTACCTATCGTTTTGTTGTCATCAATCCCAATTGATCCATTGATAATTTCCTTAAAAAAGTAATTATGTCCAATGAATTTATTGATCACACAAATTAACTTTATCTTTTGTAAAATAATAAAATATGTGTTAAGAATATTGTGTTGTGCGTCATGAAAGATTAAAGAAATATCAATCGTTGAAAAACTTTCTTGTAAAAAACTCAAAGAGTAAAGAACTTCATTCTGCTGAATAATATTTATTACACAAACAATCTTACACACTATAAAAGCTGAAACTTCCTGTGTGATTTTTTTATAAATTTAATTAATGTAATATAACTAGGCCCCGATAATACCTATTTTAAGCCTCAGTGTTAGATTTTTTAATGGGACCCAAGAAAAGTTTTTTCATAAAAACTGTAAACAATGTTTTTATTATAACACTAATAAAAACTGCAAGTGATAAAAAAAATTATACAACTTTTAATATTTTAAGTTATTTTACAATTACAAGACTAGGTTCTTTTTCTTTGTAAGTCCCTATTAGCCGGGTCCATGGTCACAATACAACCCCATTAATCGGTCTTGAATCTAACTCTATACCAGAAGTGTTATTTCATATCATACTGGACTGGGGTCTACATTTTCGTGGTACATTTCCTAATAACTCAAACCTATTACACTCAATATAAAAATTTCCATGATAGAAATTTTTCTAAAATCATTTTTACGATTATATTATAAATAATTTAGAAATAAGAAATTCTAAAACTATTTAAATATTTATAAGAATATAAATGAATATTTCAAAAAAAAAAACGAATGTAAGCATTTGAATCTTCTTGGGGGCTCATGTTTTATTTGAATTACTATAATGTACATATACTGAAAATGTTATGAAATATAAAAATGTGTATAACATAATTATATTGTAAAATGTTCATTGTTTTTAAACTCTAAATCCATAATCTTATAACCGAACATTATTTATTTCTAACCAGAATAAATTCTGACGTAGTCAAGTGCTAATTTGAAGTGTTTTGACTTAACGTAAAATATGTATGATATATAATTTTAATAAGATAATCAGAGTTTATTGTAATTAAAACAATTTAATCTGTTTTTCACGATAAAAGTAAGTCAATATTTTTTACAAATTAGTGAAAATAATAGCAATGTTAAGTTTGAATAGTATTACATAGATAATTAGGTATTTTTTTTCTTTGATAATATTGCTGATAAAATTACAAGTATTATTTCGAGTACAACACCATTGAATAGATTTATTTAACATGCGTAGTTAATTTTGACGCAAAATGAAATAGGCTTGGAGTCTGACCGCTTCAAAAATTAAAAAATTGACAGGGAATAATTTTACATACTGTATTCTAATGACGACAATTTTGTTTTCAAAATTACATGAATAGATTTAAGGTACCCCTCAGTTGAGGTATAACATTTATTTGTTATAAATAATTGATCTTATTACTCACCCTAATAAGTAATAAACTCGAAGAAAGACTACCGTTAAAATAAAAATATGGTTAAAAATTACACTTTAAAGATACATAGTTTTGAGTGGATAATTATTTAAAGTCATCTCCAGTAGACAAAAAAATAGAATTTTTCGTACAATCAACTGTAAGAATGAACGGAATTTATTGCGAAACGTGTTCTTTCATCGAACGTTCATCTCCTGCTTTGGTATTTCGTGTCTTACTACCTAAAAAAAATAACTTCAAACATAAAAAAACGCCCCCTAGTATCACGTGACCATTGGAACCAAAATTAATCAACCAATGGCAATTTCTTTTTTCGAGTGATTATATTTATGTAATGTCTGCAGAGTAATCGACCAGTATGGATCAGTGTAATAGAAGAAAAGGTGAGCTGTCGGCGACGGAAGACGAGCAAAAGAAATCGCTGTACGACGATGGCAGGTTGACTGCTACGACCACAACTGACAAAACTGTGGAAGCAATACGCGGATACTGTCGTCATAAGAGCATGCCGTCCGACCTGTACCGGCCCGTCTCAGGTACTCGGAAATTCCGGCTGACCGACCTGATTGCCGAACTGCACCGCGTGTTCGAGGAGGATCGCGTTAACGTCGAGTATGTCCAGTACCTGATGGAGTCGTACAAAAGCGATCCCGCAGAGTGGCTTAAATACGCCAAGTTCAACAAATTCCGTTATACCAGAAATCTCGTAGACGCCGGCAATGGCAAATTCAACCTGATGGTATTGTGCTGGGGCGAAGGCAACGGTTCCTCCATACACGATCATCCCAATTCCAATTGCTTTATGAAAATGCTGGCGGGCCAATTATCGGAGATACGTTTCTCATGGCCCGAAGACTCTTCTGATGAAAACGACATCAAACCAATGAAAGAGATCGGTCGCTCCTGTCTCGAAACAAACAGCGTGTGTCATATAAACGGTGAGTAAAATTTAAGTGTTATCAAAAAAAAAAAAGTAAAACTAAATTTTTCAGTAGACGTACGTTTTTAGAATCAAACTGTCGTTTTATTTATTGGCCATTGTTTAAAACTGACACTACCAATTTGTTTTGTTTTTATGTAAACTCAATCAACTAATCCTTTCAATGTTATAATACTGTATCGTTTTTAATAATTTAATATTTATATGAATACGATAAAAATATATACGTTTTCTTCTTATGATCTAACGTTTCGTATCGTATTTATACACGAAAGTAGACGTATGCGAATTTATATGATTTCACTTGATTAAATTCGCCAATTTCTAAATGATAAGGTTATTTAGGTTAATGTTATTTAACTTATTAAGTTTAAACAAACGAGTTTGCATGAATTTATCACGCACAAATTCATAAATCAGCATATTTTTCATATAATACAAAATAAAAATAACTTTATCTGAAGATGAAAATAAATTCATTTATCATAAATCACAATTTAATTAAAAACTAAAAATAATATTAAGAATTTTTTTTTGGTATCTGTTAAGTACATAATTTGCTCAATTCATCAATTTTAAAGTTTTTTTTTTTTTATTAATATCCCTTGACATTATATAATAATGCTGGAGGTGAGACACAAGTGATGTTATTTTTATCACTAGTCATTTCATGTCCAACTTCCAAAATACTGATCTAAAAGTTGTTATCGTTCAGTCATCTTCTTAATTAGATCATTATCTATTAAATATACTAGTTAATTTTGTATGATGCCATTTGAACAAATAGCAGAGAAGAATATGACTAGGAAATAACCAGTGGATAAAAATGTTTTATTATTTTATAACTATAAAACTATATAACTTGTTTTATTTACTATAAAAATTTATTTAAAAGTAATATAAAAAAGTATAAATATTATTTAAAAAATGACTTACTTAATCTATTAACTAACTTTAAATATAGTAAAAAATTTTTTTATAATTTTAAACTTTTTTGGTTAATTACAATTGAATATTAATTATTTTTTATAGATTCTATGGGACTTCACAGAGTAGAAAATTCGAGTCATACAGATAAAGCAGTAAGTTTGCACTTATATTGCCCTCCCTATGAAATATGCTCCACTTTCAATCAACATACTGGTCATAGGGATGTTGCAATATCGACGTTTTGGTCTATTTATGGTAAAAAAGTTTCTAAGGTATGACTATTTATTCTCGTATATTTCATTAAAATATTTTGGGACAATTTTTCCTAATCTTCCTTTTTGCCCCAAAATATCTTGTAATAGTTTATTTTTATAGGGTAAATAGTATGCATTAAATTATAAATTCGAATGAAAAAAAAAATGTCATATTGATGAATACTCTATATATGTTCAATAAAGTTTTGTGCTTAGGCTTGTTAAAGATTTTATTGGCCAGGAGATAATACATTTGAAATACTTTTATGACTCAATTTAAATTTATCAGATTTCAATTGATTGAAAGTTTTTTTACTGAAAAATTTAAAAGAAAAATATATATATATATACATCTAAAGTGCCGTCGCTAGATTTTGCTAAACCCTGACAAACTTATTTACTGATAGGTAGAATATAACCATTAGGGTGGCCCTCAAAAATCGAATGTCTTTTTTTTCTTTATGCTACCCCTTAATTTTTTTTAATGGTCAAAAAAATGAGCTGTGCAAAATTTGGGACCGATCCGTTAAGGTTAACCCGTGCCCCCGGGCCTATTAAGTTGAGTCGAAGAGTCAAATTTAATAGAAATAACTGATCTATGTCTTATAACTTTTTTTTCTCTTAACTTAGAATAATAAAAGTAAAACTCAAGTAAAGGAAATTTTACAAGAAATTCAAAAATAATAACTTCAATGTTGTTTTCTCAATAAATAGCCCACAAAAACACTACATACAGTAAAAAACATGTAAAAGTCTTAAAATACGTTATAACTGATAAAATGAAAGGCCCTAAAAATAACAAAAACTTGCTGTGTTCACATGACAGCACTCCAAATCTATATCTATAGGGTTTTGGGTTAAAAGAACTTATCTATTATAATGAAACATTTATTAAGAAATTAACTGTTTAAAAATGTTTTTGTTATGAACAAATAGATCATTGTCTTTCAGTTATACAATATATAAATATATGCATACTTTATTAAACCACTTTAATCTTTATAAAAATGGATAAACATGTGCACAAAAATGTATATATATATATGTTATTTCGAAATTAATTTTTGGATTTATTGACCACAAAAACGTAAAATTTAACATTTAACCTTACAACTAACAATTTTTTTGTTTGTTTGTCGAATAATATCGTACTGTATTGATTAAAATTGTTTTTTTGTTTTTTAGAAACTTGAAGACTATGTGCCCGACGATAATTAATTTTTAAAGCTAACATTTTTACAAAAATAAAATTAAAAAAATGAATTTATATTATTTGAATTAACCATTCATTGTTTGTTAAATCATACAATTTTTAACTCAAATATCTATTATTGAAATATAAATTAAAAATTATAATTTTACTACAGTTAAAAACATATTCAAATATTAGATTGAATTCCTAGCATGGGTTTTCTAAATATTAATAATAATTTAAGTAATTATATAACAAATATTATTTGAAAATGCAACTTCCTAGCATAATTTAGTTTTATTAAACATGTAAATACTACTAAAAGAATTTAAATTAATTTCATTTGTATTCTTGTAGATTTAAATACGATGTAAATTTAATTTTTTTTAATTAATATTAAAAAAAATATTTTAGAAAATAATATATTAATAATAAAAAGTACCATAATATTTATTATTGTTAGCATTTTTATAAGATTAAATAATTTAGATATAGATAATAAACATCACTCACTTGATATTTGCATTATTTATGGGTTAGAATTTTTTTGAACAGTTACTATAAAATTGTATTATAGGTATATTTTCTTTGATTAACCAGTATTTATACAGTTATGTCATTTCATTTTTATGTTCTCAACTATGCAACAAAGCTAAACAATTTTAGTAATGCTAAATATAATTTGCTTCTTATTAAAAAATATTTTTATATAATCATAAATGTAATTCTTTATAACTGTGAGTAGTATTATTAACACTTTTAGGACGTTAAGTAGACGAAGTACTCCCTTATTTTGGAGTAAATGTCTCATTGAATAACAGTTTCAAATAAAACGATAATTTAAGTTCATTTTATTCTATGGAAGTATTCTATTGTAGAAACTAAGAGCCTATTTAGAAATTTATACTAAATTTTTATTTTACATAATAAATAAAAGAAAAACTGTATTTTATAACACAATTCCTTTATTTCTGTATCTGAGAAGCAGAATAATCCAAGTCTACTTTATGATGTATTACTATGTGAAAATTAGCTCTTTTTACCTGACATAATTTTAATTATTTGAACAAATTTAGTCGTTAATAAACTAAATTAACAGTAAAGTTAATTCTTATGAGAAGAAAAATGTTTCTTTTTCTCCTAGTAGTAGTGGACGTTGACCCTTCAGCTTCTCAAATACAAATGTTTGGGTAGACAATATAGATCTGCATAACAAGAATAGATATTATTTTACACAAATTGTTCATAAATAATCATGAGACAAAGATGTGACAGAATAACTGAAATATTTTAATCAAATGAAAATAATGACATTCATTTTTTTTTATGACAATAATGTATTAATTTATATAAAATATGGTTTAGAAATAAGAATCATTTGTACTTATTCCATACAACTACCCAAAGAAAAAGTTTTTACTTACTTAATAATTAAAAGCAATAAAATAATATTCTAATAAAATTTATAAATGATTGCAAATAATTTCATCCATTGTTATATTATAAAAGTTGATTGCGAAAATCCAATAAATAATTGTTGTATTTAGAAATAACAAAACACAATATATGTATATATACTATAATAAAAAATGTGTATATATTAATTAAATGGTTGATTTCTCTTTCAAGGAGCTGCCTCTTTACTCAATTCAATTAGTGCTAACAACATAATATTATTTATTTTATATCACCAGCCTAGAATTTGAAGAATGTATTAAACAAAAAATAATTATACGTTCTTTGTAATAGTTCATTATAAAATTTGATATTAAAATGTGAGGATCTTAAAATTGTATAATGTATTCTTCATTATCTAGGATGATTATATTGTAAAGAATTAAAATTGATTAACTTATGATTATTCACTACAGTAAATTATAAATTGGGTGAATTTAATATATTTTTTAAATGAAGACAAGGATATTGTCTATTGTATTCGATGTCATTCTCATCCCATGAATCATCATCACTTGATTCTGACTGTATCATCTTAATTGTTGCAACGATTGGTACACAAGTAAAATGATCCTCAGAAATAGGCATTAAATTTTTTAATTTATTCCTACAAAATAAAAAAAGAATTATTTTAATTTACAAGAAATTCTTTATAATTTGCACTACAAATAATAATTAGTACTAACCAAATTAAACGATTAGCAATAGCAAAAACTTTTGGTAGTGGAAAGCCATTAAATGTACTAGCAACAGGCAAAGTATAAGCTCCCATATCTTCAAAAATAATCCAATCACCCATGTTCATTTTAGGTAAATTGACAGAGTCGATAACTTGATCCAGACCATCACAGGTTGGTCCCCATATAGAACTTGGGACAAGTGAACTTGAAGTATTTTCCTAGTAAAAAAAAAAACAATAATAATAACTCTTTATATATTATTTGATATTTAAAGTCAAAAAAAAATGCGCAGCACTTACAATTAATGGTTTTGGCACAACAACTGAATGGTCATATAAAATACTGTTGAATGACCCATATATTCCATCATTAATAAAATACATAGTGTGATCTTCATTTGGACGACTTTTTATAGAATGAATTTTAGTAGCAAGAGTAAAAGCTGATGCAGCAAAAAATCTACCTGGTTCTGCAATTATTGTAATTCCACTAGAAAGTGGAAACCATTCATTAAGTGCATCATTTACAACTTCTGAAATCTAAAAATGAATGTCATGTAAAATTTACAATAAATTAAAAGTAAATAATAATATTTAAATTACTTATTTGAGAAACAATTAATGCAAGACAAAAATTTTGAAAATCGAGTTTAAGGACATTATGTTATTTAAGGACTAGCATGGCACTTTTTAATAAGTTTTTTAACAACTTATCAAGTTCAAAAGTTTTGACTTTTTTAAATTCAGGATGACTACATATACAATAGTATCATCATGTATACAGTTTGTTGAACATTCTAGGTGTGAACTTATAGTAGTCATTTGTGGATTTATACTTTTTGAGAAATAATATATTTCAGAAATAACACAAATTCAGAGCTTCAAAAATCTTTTTAATGTAAACTCAGTGTATCAAAATAATCTAAGAATATCTTTAATTTATATTGAAAAGCATTTAAATTTTTAATTAAAAGTTCATTTAAAAATACTATTTAAATCTTCTTCTTCTTCTTTCTCGCCTTAATCCCAACTACTTGAATTCAGCCACCCTTATCCCAAATTTCCACTTGATATGATCTCCCACATCCTCTACGCTCACATCAGCTGTCCTCAAATCGCATTCAATAGCATCCCTCTATCTCCTTTTTGGTCTTCCTCTACCTCTTCTTCTTTCAACATTCATTTCTATAATTGTTCTTAGAGCTTCCTATTCTTCTCTCTTCATAACATGACCAAACCATCTAAGTCTATTTTCTCTCATCTTATCCACGATTGATGTTACACCTATACTTCCTCTTATATGCTCATTCCTTATCCTATCTTCTCTAGTCACTCTACTCATTCATCTAAGCATTCTCATCTCTGCTATACTTTCTTATCAACCGTCTACACTCTAAATCATACATCATAGCTGGCCTCACTAAAGTTTTATATAATTTACCTTTCAGCCTCATTGGAATTCTTTTATCGCATAAGACGCCAGACGCTTCTCTCCACTTCAACTACCCGCACTTAAACCTATGTCTTATATCCTCATCAATACCACCGCTCTTTTGCACAACTGACCCTAAATACTTAAAACTTTCCAATTCTCCAATCACATATTCGCCTTTTGTCACTAATCTCTTCATTTCACCTACCTCGTGTTCTCCTTTGTCAAACTCGTACTCTATATACTCTGTCTTATTTCTACTAATTCTTACACCCTTTTCTTTAAGAGCTGATCTTCACACCTCTAGCCTTTGATTAATTTCTTTCCTATTTTTTCCTATTAACACTATATCGTCAGCAAACAACATGCACCTCTCCTTGTATTTCTCTAGTAATTTCATCCATCACTATAGAGAATAAGTAAGGGCATAAAGCAGAACCTTGGTGCACTCCTACTCTTACCTGAAAACCTTCTGATATTCCTCCTACACTTTTTATCCTGGTACAAGTGCCATCATACATATCTTCTATTATATTAATGTACCTTTTTGGGACTCCTTTTCTCATTAATGCCCACTTTAAAACCTCTCTCGGTACTTTATCATACGCTTTCTCCAAATCTATAAATACCATACAAAGCTTTTTCTTCTTTTCCCTAATAGTTTTCATACTTCTACTGGCACTTCATCTGGTCCCACTGCTTTATTCTTTTTCAATGATGCCACAGCCTTCGATACCTCTTTCTCACTAATTAAATCTACCAGTCCCTCGTTCCACGAGATATCCTCTAATGTCTTTTTTGGGTACTCCTCATTCAGTAATTTTCAAAATACTCTTTCCACTTTTTTTTTCAAATCATCATCACCCAAGAGTACCTTATTATCAACACTTTTTATACACCTTATATAATGATAATCTTTAGACCTTTTCTTTCTTACTTTTGCAAATCTATAGATTTCTTTCTCGCTTTCCCTTGTTCCTAGCCATCATACCTCTTAAACTTCGCCTTACTTTTACTGCACACTTGGCTTCTTTCCACAAGCGTTATAAACTTTTATACGTTTATAACTTTACAATCTTTTACTCACTTTACACTCTCTCTTTTAATATAACTATTTAAATATTTTTTATTTTTCAAATTAATACATCTGCAAAACTAAAATAATGTTAACAAAATCTAAACTATCCTAAATAAAAGGAAAATATTAATTTTCATTAGTTTTTTATATTATGAAAAAACATATTGACTAAAGTTGTTTATTTATTATAAAATAAACATCTCATAAAATATAAAAAATATCAAACACTAGTAATACAATAATGAAAATTATAATAAAGCGAAGAACATAACCTACTTTATCAAGTGAAGTATTTTTGTTGCCAGGAAATCCACCACCAATATTTAACAAATACATGTTTGTAAAACCCATTTGTTGTGCTAAACAAAAAATAGTTGCCGAAGCAGATATTGCTCTTCGAAAAGCAATAGGTTCATTACAACCCGAACCTACATGAAAGCTTACACCAACAACGGATAAATTAAGATCGCGAGCCAATGACAATAATGCAGGAGCTTCTACCTGAGGATCACAACCATACTTTACTCCAAGTGGACATTGTGATGAAGCAGCATCAGAGCGAATTCTAATAATTAAGCTAATAAAAAAAATTTAATTTACTAAAACTATTCTCAATAATTATTAATAATACTTACTTGCAATTTGGATGAATAGATTTTATTTTATAGAGCTCTAGTTCGTTGTCAAATGTTGTTAAATCAACACATTGACTCATAGCATATTTTATATGTGACGTCATTTTAGCAGGATTTGCAAATATAATTCGTGATGGATTGACTCCTAAATCTAATACTTTCTTTATTTCCACCTAAAATAATAATTATTATTATAAAAACATCATTAAAAAGTAAAGAACAAAAACGGGATTTAAAAAATACATTTTGTTCATTATTACTCATCAGGTTTTATTATAGTGGTAATGTATTTGATATTGTAATAGATTAGATACTTTTTAAGCCTATAAAAATAATTAATTTTAATTAATTTTTGATTGAGTTATGAGTTTAGGAACAATATTTTATTTTGTTCTAAATTAAACAAAAATATTGTTTAATGAGCTGTAGTTTAATTAAAAAACTAATTTAGCAAACTTATTTTTTTACTTGAAAGCTTCAAAATTATTTAAAGAATTCTATTCATTAAAAAAAATTATATTATAATCAAAATGTTTTGATTTATTGGATAAAATGTAATTTTTGCAAAAAAGAAAAATATTTTCAATCCCTGAAAAATAAATAACTTACTCTTGATGCACAATCAAATCCTAGACCAAATGCAGCCAATGTTTCTAATATCAAAAAATTGTCGTTGCATTTCACAGCTATAAAATTAAAGTTAACAGATAAGAATCAGAATTGTTCAAATTACAATGTTTTCCTTTAGGTTGGATTGATAACATTAATAAAAGCATCATGACACAAAATAACTTTATAAATAAATAAATTATTATTAATTTTTTAAATTAAATTAATTATATTTATAAACATATATACTAACCATAATAAGGTTTTACACGAGGCATTTTTTTTTTCCAAATTTTTACTTTGTTAACAAGATCACCAACATCAAATATGTAAAAAGGATCAGATATTTCCTAAAAATAAAACAAATTAGAAAAAAAATATTTTTTTAATTTACAAGATTCTAACCTTAGTTCTCACAATATCTTTGATTATTTCATCTACTGTTATGTTGTTATCAATAACATGAATTTGTTCTTCAAGCCCAAAAATTCTCATGCTTGGTTTTCTTTATAAATTTAAAGTATGATTAATGTATTAAATATTATAATTCTTTTTTAATTAGCAAATTGAAAAGGTAAACTGAAAAAAAAAATACAATATATTATCCAAATAATATTTATTATTTTTAATTATTTAAATAAAATATCCTAAAATAGAATTTTAAAATATATAGATAAAATTAGTACAGTTTATTATAAATGAAATTATATGAGCCCATCAATTGTAAATTATATTTAAGAAAGAATATCTAAGGTGTCTATATTACTAAATAATTAATTGAAAAACATTTTTGTATGATAATAATAAATTCATTTGTGATATAAAAAATGGAATATCAAGAAAATAGTGTAACTTATCTAGAACAATTTCTATAATAAATAAAGATTATAAACAAATAGTAGTTTTCTTTATAATGTAATTTAATTTGTGAATGAATTCCATAATTATTTTTCAATATAGTCACTAATTACTAATTTTTTTTTTTATATTATTGATTAAGGAACAATAAATGTATTAACAAAGTAAAATTAAACTTAAGAAATTTCCAAACTAATAAATTTCTGTAAACGATAATGGAACTTTATGGTATAAATAAGCGGGATTGCTACAATTTATAACAGAAATCAATTAAAAAATATGTAGTCCTAAATAATAAGTATTCTAAATATTTATTTTTTCAAAATTAAAATTAAATTAAGTCATGTTCATCAAACAACTAAAATAAATCATAAACTATTTCAAAATTGTAAATACTTTAATTCAACTACAATTGTTAATACGTACGAGGCAGCTCAGGAGTGATATTTTACGAAACAGTTTAACGCTATACCAAGAAATTTATGTCAGCAAAGCCACGGAGGATCAACGTTTAAGGATGATTGCCAATTAGTTACTCGTAGAGTATTTCTTGCTACCAGGTACTTTACCAACTGACGCTGTCCCTAAAATTGATACATTACACATATATATATACATATTAAATTTCAGTACTTATTTCTAAATTAACTTAAGAAAAATGTTTATTTAAAAACATTAACTACCCTGGTAACATTAAATGAAGCATAAAAGAAACCATAATAAATTATAAAATAGTTATAGAAATGATAACTTGATACTATCAATAATCAAAACTTGAAATAATATAAGAATGCTTTCAATCATTTTTAAGATAATATCTTATCATTAATCAGTATAATAAGATCAAAGACCAACAATTTTTCTACTAAAGTATTGCTACTCATTACAACACTTTTAATGTGATGATATTTTGCATAAAATTTAAATTAAACAATAGTAATTTTATTTACTTTATCAGACTATAATTTATTTTGAAATAATTATTACATACTTGGTTAATATATTAATGCTACTATTTATCAATTTCTCTAGAATAAACAATTTTTTATACATAAATAACATTCACGTGTTATGATAAAGTTACCCAATGACAAGATTACAAAACACTTAAAGACAAAATACATCACTAAATAAATAAAGAGTTTGAACTAATACAATAGATAGCTAATAAAATTTTACCTAATAAAATATTTTTATTATACACTGACTACATTTTTTTCAATTTTAAGAATATATATTTAATGAACTTAATTAAATTTTTATTAAATATTTATAGAAAAAAAAATTAACCAAGATCATATAGTTTCTTATTATACTAAAAAATTTTTATTTATCAACCAACGCAATTTTTTTTTTTTGCTTTTGAAGCATTGAAATATATTAAAATTAAATTGTATTTTATAAATATAGACAATTGTTGGTGTTTGAAGAACACATGAATAATTTCAAAATATTTATGTAAAAATATGAGAAAGTATTTGAAATATATATATTTATGTTGACATGTAATAATAAATATAATATATTTACTTTCTTTGAATTCTTAATCCATAATATAGTAGAATATTAATGAGGAAAAGTAAATATTGTTCTCAAAAAACTTTTTCATAAAAGTTAAATTTAAACAAATTTAAAATTATTGGATTAAAATTTTTCTTGAATAATAATTATATGAAGAGTAACATTATTCTTTACAGCTAAAAAAAGGTTATTTTGAAGTTAACAATAATAGAGCAATTGCCCCATTCATGTTTTGTAAATACGTCCCTAAAATTAACTAACCTAAAATCAGGTAGTATAAGAGTCTAATAAAATGTATTTTGAAACTTCATTCATGTTCAAATAGTCTATTCAAAGTACATCTAATTCATTTTATTATTTTGACCTTGAATTTTTACAAGGATCTTTAAATTGCAATAACTTATTAAATAACTGATTGATTAAAATACACACTTTAATAAAGTACTTACATAATATACATCTAATTTAAATTTATTTAATCAAACAAGTGAAATTTTGACAGCAAGTTATTATTATTAAAGCCAAAATTAATATATAAAATTTATTATACAACTGAATCCTTAGGCGTTCATAAGTATTATAATTATAATAATATAAAATATTATTTTAAGTATAAACATGTCTTTATATATGCCTTTCACGGCTATATATTCTATATAGTTGTACAATATAATGAAAAACATATTCTATAAAAACTAGATAAGAAGGTTTTGTTTTTTAAGTTTTTTCATTATATTGATAGTAATAATGATATTTTCACTGTTATAACTTAGTCAAAAAATTAGGTTTTTTAATTTTATAACACTTAAAGATACTGTTAAAAATAAATTTAATTAAAATTTTTTTTCTTCATTACTTTATCCTAAATACAGCAAACTATAAATAATAGCTATATTATTATATACAAATAATATATAAAAAAAAACAATTATTAATTCATGTCAATGATGTTGAAGTTTAACGATAATTGGGCTAATAATAAATTTTTAAACAATTTCTAATATTAGTGACATATGTAATAATGAAGACGTAAAAAAATAGCTGAAGTAAGCATATTTTAACTTAATGATATATTACTTCACTGAAAATAAGTAGTTCTTACCTTAGAAGTGGAACACCACCCTAACTGATATTTATTAATTGGCGAAATTTTGAATGTAGGTGAAAAACAGATAAAAATGAAAAAATGACATAGATTTGGAGCAAATACTTCAGCCGAAAGCGTAGACTAGAAATGAATCATGCAATCTCGACAAAAATGAAATTTAGTGTAGGTACTTCGTATTTGAGCGATAAATTTATCATTATCACAGCAAACTTGACATTTTCGATTATTAAACATATGGAAACAGTGTTACATTGTATAATAAAATAAATACTAGTTTTGAAATATTTTGCACAACTACATTATTCATTATAGAATCAAATAAAAAAAAAACACAGAACTTTATTAATACTAAAACTCTCTTTATGAATCTACATTTTCAATAATAAATATTTTAAGCAATAGAAAATTCTATTACAAAGTTTAAAGATTTTTGCTGTGTTCGTAAAAACAAAATGATTCAAAATATGCAAAATCTATTTCATAATTATGACAAATTTAAAAATATTATTTCCTGCAAACTGTTGCGGATCTAGAAATACTTTTGGAGAGGGTCATTTCATTAAATTTGAGATAAAAAACCCAGCACAGTTGGGTGGCGGCACAGTGGGGTCGTGGCATAGTTGGGTCCAGTATAGATGATATCTCACAGTGATTAAAATCACTATCATAAAAAACGCTTCGATGCAAATCTGTAGATAGTGTTTAATTTAAAAAAAAAAATTCGTTAAAATAGCATATTTTTGAATATGGTAGCCATTTGCGCATAGAAGATAGGTCGTCGGGAAAAAATTTTTTTATTTTCATTTTTTAGTACATAAACTAAACTTTAATTTGATATATATTTAAGGACGCAGTATTTCCGGAACATTTTCAAAAATTAAGTTGAAAAAGTTATTTTTTGTAAAAAAGTTGCAATTTTAAATTCCCCCCAATGAGCAGGTTAAGTGTTAGATTTTCAAAAAAAAAATTATATCAAATGAAAGGGAAATATCTAAGGTTTCAATACAAAAAAATATTATTTTTATTTGTTCATTTTTGAAAAAGTTATGGCAGTTTTAAGTACAAAAAACATCCCGATAAAAGGTAATTTTTATCGCAAACATTACATTTTTTTTTAAATTTTCGACAGCCATTTGCACATAGAAGATAAGATGTCGGGACAAATTTTTTTTTTTCATTTGATAGTATATAACATAACCTTTGATTTGATATATGTTTAAAGGACGCAGTATTCCCGGAACATTTTCAAAAGTTCAGTTGAAAAAGATCTATGTTTTTTACAATATTTAAAGTATTTCAAATAAAAGATATACTTATAATATATTTAGAAAAAAAAAATTGTGTTGATACATACATTTTTCGAAAAGTTATAGCATTTTTAAGTTGAAAATTTTAACACAAAAATAGCGTTTTTTTTAACTACGGCAGCCGTTTACATGCAGAAGATAAAGTGTCGGGACAAATTTTTTTTTTCATTTGATTGTATATAACATAACCTTTGATTTGATATATGTTTAAAGGACGCAGTATTCCCGGAACATTTTCAAAAGTTCAGTTGAAAAAGATCTATGTTTTTTACAATATTTAAAGTATTTCAAATAAAAGATATACTTATAATATATTTAGAAAAAAAAAATTGTGTTGATACATACATTTTTCGAAAAGTTATAGCATTTTTAAGTTGAAAATTTTAACACAAAAATAGCGTTTTTTTTAACTACGGCAGCCGTTTACATGCAGAAGATAAAGTGTCGGGACAAATTTTTTTTTTCATTTGATTGTATATAACATAACCTTTGATTTGATATATGTTTAAAGGACGCAGTATTCCCGGAACATTTTCAAAAGTTCAGTTGAAAAAGATCTATGTTTTTTACAATATTTAAAGTATTTCAAATAAAAGATATACTTATAATATATTTAGAAAAAAAAAATTGTGTTGATACATACATTTTTCGAAAAGTTATAGCATTTTTAAGTTGAAAATTTTAACACAAAAATAGCGTTTTTTTTAACTACGGCAGCCGTTTACATGCAGAAGATAAAGTGTCGGGACAAATTTTTTTTTTCATTTGATAGTATATAACATAACCTTTGATTTGATATATGTTTAAAGGACGCAGTATTTCCGGAACATTTTCAAAAGTTCAGTTGAAAAAGATCTATGTTTTTTACAATATTTTAAGTTTTGAACGCCCCCTATATAANTAAAAAAGTTGCTATTTTAAATCCCCCCCCCATGAGCAGGTTAAGTGTTAGATTTTCAACAAAATGATATCAAACGAAAGGTAAATATCTAAGGTTTTAGTGGAAAAAAAAATTATGTTGATTTGTTTATTTTTCAAAAAGTTATGGAAGTTTTAAGAAAAAAAAGTGAAAAAAATGACAAAATTTACCGATTTTTAAATTTGTAATTTTTTTGGATATTTCCCCCATTTNCCGATTTTTAAATTTGTAATTTTTTTGGATATTTCCCCGATTTTCGGGGAACGAAGGAATTTTTTTCAATTTTTAAGGGCAATGTCTCCAACTAGATACGAATTGTGATCTTTTGACGTACTTTTGAAAGAAATCGGTCCAGTGAGAGCTGAGAAAAAGTGGCAACAGACATAAAAAAAAAAAAAAACACATCATAGTAAAATTAATACCTTCTCAGCTTCGCATCGAAGTTAAAATGACTTTTTTTTTTACCAAATACATAAACAAAATACTTTAAAATTAAAATAATTTAGAATTTATTTAATTAGTATGTTACGTTGCAATATGTATGAGTAAAGTAAAAAACGTTTTTTTCAAACTTCACTGAAATGATATCCTTTCTACGTAATTGCCTTAAAATACAATACAATTTTAAGTTTTTTTACAAAATTTCTTATAATCTATATCTTTAGAGGACGCTTTTTTAACCTTATGTGTTGGAAAACATGTTGCCGGTATGATCAAATTTCTTTACTATTGTTTTTTAAGATAGCACTTTAAATAATATTACATAATTTAAGTAATAAAAAAATAATATTTTTGAAGAAACTTTTTTTAATGATATTATGTCTTGTTACTTTATTAAATAAAAAGATAAAAAAATTTTAAATTATTAATATTCTATTTTTCTGTTAAACATTTTAATTTGGACACATAGATATTGTTTTACTGTGCTGTGTTTTTTTTTTTTGTAACACTATGAATGATTACTCCGCTCTTACTAGACCAATTTTGCTCAACGAAACATCGAAAGAATACAAAATATATCTAGTTGAAACTATCAGTTCTATACTTTTAAAAAATTTATAATATTCGAAATTCCCAAAAAATTACAATATTTCAAAAACAGCCAATGTAGACATTTTTAGTTTTCACTTTATATTGAAATAACTTTTTAAAAACTGATAAGATTATTGCAAAATTTTTATTCACAATACTTCAAACGTTTGGTTTGTCGACGGCATACTTTTTCTTGAAATTCCAATCCTTAATCACCTTAACATGGAAGCGTACCTTATTTAAACTTACATTAAATTAAATGTGAAACAATGTACTTCAAGATGAAAAAAGTAAACAAGCATTAAAGCCAAAAATCTTACAATTTTTGGTAAAAATGGTAGATTTTGTGTTTTGCTTTGTAACGGAACATTTATGTTGTTCAAAATTAAATACAATTATAGCTTATAAATGTACTATACGATTAAAAAAAATAAAGTTATTCGGACAACTTGTCTTCTATAATAACCTCTAAAAATGATTATCGTGTAATTTTTGGCGGATATGATAAATTGCTCATTTTAATAATGTATGGATCAAAATTAAATCTTCAAGCAAAATATTTAAAACAAGTATCTTATTTTAAACTTCCTATGTTTAAAACCCAATTAATTACCAAGGAACTAAGAGGGAGCATAATGGTCATATTAATCATTTTTAAATATTATAAAAAATCTGATTTCTTTAAACTTACATCAAATTAAAGACAATAAATATATACTACAAGTAAAGAAAGAAAAACTATCGGGAATTTTAATTTCTAGCAGTTATCGAGTATTAAAATAAAAAATTGTATGATTTTCGATAAAAAGGTTAATTTTATAATTTTCTGCATAGTAATGGAATACATGTTTCATTTTAGATTACTTTTTTTATCTTTTTTGCCATTTTTAACAAAGATTGTATAATCTTTAGCTTTAATGTTAATAACTCTTAGAAATCAAAGTTTTTTGAAAAAATGAATTCATTCAAAATTTTTATTAGTAATGCATCAAACAATAATCTTTATTTAAACATATATTTTTAACAAAATCTTATTAAAACCTATGTACAGGAAAGGTTTGAAATATACATTTGCATATATGAATTTTTTTTCATTCAAATTAAGTTTTCTTTTTGTAAAGCAATTAAAAATTAAAATAACTCCTTTGCTTGTAATAGGTACGCGATATTAGCTGTATAAATAAAAGCTTACTCTTAAATACGATTATATATCCATAGTAAGTTATTAAATCCAGTAATTGATACGTAAATTTAATTGAAGTTTATCAACGCAAAGAGAAAAATATCAATTTAATTTATGCGTTTACACAATTGTTAGCTTGTAAATTTTGTATTTCCAAATGTACATATATAAATTGGTTTTAACTCAATTTTTACCGTTAATAACAATATTTATAAATTCTAAAAACGAAGATTGTAAATATTCTTATAAAATAAAGTTTTTAGAAAAAAAACACACGAAGAACGCAAAAATTCAGTTCAATTATATCGATTACATGTTACTGTATTAACCGTTTATTTCACATATCCTTAGATCGTTATCTCTTTTAATTTTATTTTCGTTAAAATAATCTAAAAGGATCAACTGCGTACTATTTACTAATGCAGTTTAGATATCAAGTTTTTGGCTGTCAGTAAAAATACATAGATACTCTTATTATTTAGTATCTTTGTTTATATTTATACATTAATTAAATAATCATGAAATCATTGAATATATTGTACTGCACAATCAGGATTGACTCTTAAATTGAAAATATAGTATTATTCAGTAGCATCTAAAATAATTTAGTAAGGTATATCAAAATAAAAATTATATGTAATAGATAGTAAGCATGTAAAGTATTTTCTTAAACAGCTTTGTGTCGTCGTACATATGAAATATTTTCAATTGTGATTAAACCTAAATATACAAGTATGTAATAAAACACTGAAATCATAATAAAACTAATATTATACAAGAAAAGTTATATTAATAAAGAGGAAGTAACTATTAATTCCACTGTATAATTTGTAAAAAATTAATTCAAATCCATTAACGCTAAAGAGTAATATTAACAGTAAGTTGTGTGTCTAAAAATAATCTTGACTGATAGAATATTTTTATTAACATTTTATTGAACAATTTTTTTTCAATCATTTTATGTAAAAAAAAATTTTTTTTACCAATATTCAGGTTTCAAATAACTAACCATGAAATATTACCTGATCGCAATGCTGTTCGGCCGTTATATATGAAAAGTTTAGATCATAAACGATAACAAGTATAATAGTCGTGTAAAAATAGGTAATTATTCAATATTATCAAATATCCATAAATGTAGATAGGACAATTGTTGCTAGTTGGGGATGGTGCTTTGTAGATGTCATCGTTACTAGTGTCTATCATATCAAATAAAGAAGTGAGACAGTGTCGTTGGACTTATTACAGTCCGTTGACGACCCAACGTTTAAGTCGGGAGGCGTATTTAATTTACATCTTCTCACGTGTGTATAATATTTTTTAAATTTCAGTTACAAAACACACGCTTATCATTGAGACGATTAAATTTGACATTAAAGAATCCTACGTACATTCTAACATTACATTAGTAAATCGTCAAACACAAACAAGTTAAAATATCATAAAATTTTTAAGTGGACTTCTTAGTCTATACGAGTAATGGTAAGATAATTGATGAACTAAAATTAGTAAACATTTTCTTTTCATTTATTTATTTAACTTTTAATTATTTTTGTTTTCATTGGAACTCTATATTGACTTATAAATACCTACAAGTTCGAAATAAGTATTCTTAGAAAAATTTTTAGTTCGATAAATTACATTATTTTTATAAGAAACTATATTTATTTTAAAATTTTTATGTTCATCTGATTTTATAAAATTGGATTTTTTTTTTTTTTTAATAACATTAGTTTTAATTATTTAATTTTTTTTTATAATATTTGTGTACTATTTGAACTAAAAAGTTTAATAAAAATAAACTTTTATTATGTAAAATTAAAGTAATGAATTCATTGTTATTTTTATTAACCATGTTGTTATTTATAAAACAAATTAACTGTTAGTTATAACTTGTCAGTATTGATTATATTATTTCTATTTGTCTTAGTAAATTATTTTCTATTATAGATTTTATAAGTTTTTTTTTTACAAAAATGTAAAACGGAAAATCAGGTACCATTTATTAAAATGGTACCTTTAATAGATCTACACCTTTTTTTTTCTTAAAAAATTGAACCCAGTAGTTTATCTCTAATAGTTTACTAACTTCTACTAGTCTACTTCTAAACTTAGAAACTCAAAATTTTAGGTATTATTAATTTCTGCTGTAAATTAAGTCCACTTATTTTTTTAATTCAACTAGAAGTAGTTTTTTCGATAAGTAAATTTTTAAGTTAAAGTTTTAAGTTTATATTCCTATAAATTACTTACAGTATAATATTTTACATTGAAGGCATTAAATCATCAAAAACATTCAGAAAAATGGTGGGAGACAGAGTATAGTAGTAATATTCACTCGTATCTGCAATGTCGTGAAATTAAGTGGAGAATGGTATACGGAGCAAGATCCCCCCAGGTAATTTTTTCTTTAATCAGTTATATTAAGGATTGTGCATATATATAAATGAATCAGATCTATGTTCTTGTAAATATCTTGAAATTTTTTAGATTTGTTTGTAATATTTGATAGACTTACTATTTTTTTCATTTGATATCAAATTTTCAGCCTTCCTTATATATATATATATGATGCTGTTAAAAATTAGTGTTCAAAAAAGAGATAAAATATGATCAGATATTTTTTATGTTAAAGAAATCAGTATATTTTAATTTTGAGTAATTTATCATAATTATTTAATCTTGCGTTTGAAAAAAACTTTAACTACATTTTTATTTAACAGCTAAATTAGATTATAATTTTATATCAATAGTGTTAAGGTATAATAAAAAATTTTAGAGGAAAGTATTACTTTTCTCATTCTCTCTAATCTATCTGATAGGATTGTATACACTAATGTTGATATATTTTTTGATAGTTGTTGATTAAATTGCAACTGTATAATATATTTAGATTCACATGCGACCAGTTCTATTAAAAACAATTAAAAATATTTCAAAAAGATGTGAAATGTCAAATGTAAGTGTTCATTTGGCAGTTACATTATTGGATTTTTTCATGGATCATCATGATTTAAAATTTGACACGATTATGCTAGTTTCATTTGCTTGTTTAACATTAGCTGGTAAGTAACAACCAATATCATCCAAATTGGTTGCAATTTTACAAAATAATCATTTATAATTACATTTAGTTATCTAAACATTTCATGTCAATAGCCAAAATTGAAGAACACTGTTTAAGTATACCAAAGTTGAATAGTATGCGAAATGTCATCAGTAAAGATGTTACAAATTCCCATTTCCGAAAAGTGGAAATGAAAATTTTGATGTTCTTTGATCATAGTATTACAGTGCCAACAGTGGCACATTTTATAGAATTTTATAAAGAATATTTTTATACTGACCGAGATTTTAGTAATCATGCTGTACCAGATATGATGAAAGAAAAATTCCATTCCATGATACTGTTTTACCAAGACTTATCATTAGAAAGTCAGTATATTATAACAATATTTTTACTATCAAAAAATTGTAATTTATTTATTTTTTTAATTAATCAAGTAATGTGATTCTACTTAATATTTAATTTACTGTAAGTTTTTATGATAAGAGTCTAATTTATGTTAGTTTTTAAATCTCAGTTAAATGCTCATAATTTTAATTAAAATTATATTTTAGGTACCAAATTGATATCTTTTAATCCTTCTATGGTAGCTGCCAGTATAATTCTGACTACTAGACATACATTAGAAATAGTACCTTGTTGGACTGCAAAATTACGCAATATAACAGGGTATTTGAAAAAAGATTTAGTGAAGTGTTGTTCTTTATTAGGGTAATTATCTTATACAAATTTGATTCAAAATAAAATCATTTAAAATTATAATAAATTTACAGAAGAAATGTGATGCAGCATCGAAAATATGTGGCAGTAGATGAAGGATATCGAAGTTCTTCCCCTGGTTACCAACCATCACCTAACATGGCTAATAAAAAGAGAAGAAGTTATGTTGATGCAACTGATGTTGTTTCAGCAAAAAGAATGGCATTCTAATTATTAAGACTGTGATAAGTAATAAATTAATTCTTGATTTTCTATCTTGTGTAAACAAGGTACTATATCAAATCTTATATTTTTTAAAATTATTTTTCTTATTAAACTAATATATTGTGATATTTATTTCTTTAGCTCAATAATGAGACTGATTTTTTGTATTAAATAGTTTATAAAAGTCGTTTGTGTTATTATAAGCTAATAATATTTTATATTTTATTTATTTGCTTAAGCAGACGTATAGTTTAATGTATGCGAAAAATTTATTTATTATGGATTTATTATTTCAAATAAAATGGCAAAATTTAGTTTGTTACTGACCAGTTTATAATTTTATTTTACTTCCAATGTATTAATCCAAAAGTTATATTATTTATTTAAGATGTTTAATGAAAAGGAACTATTATTATAATTTTTGTAATCAAATAAGTTAAAGTAATGATTTTTTAAACTAAAATTATTAAAAAAAAATAATCTAATAAGGAAAAAAATTTTCAGATATGAGCAATTTTAAAGTATCATATCTTCAAATTGATAGTTGTAGTCAATGAACATATGTTCTAAAGTTTATACCTTCATAAAATTAATTAGCTAGCAAAAAAAATTACAGAAAATACAAAAAATATAATAAACACAAAAACTACAGTGAAATCACATAATATTGAAGAAATTTGATTGAAATTAATTTTTTATAAAATAAATATTATTTTGAAATTGTATTTCTCTATATTACTACTTCTCATTACTATATGTAATTGATTAATTATAAATTTGAAAATATCTATATAAAATCCATGTATGTGTAGTATCTTGTACTCTCATCTTAAAAATAATTATAGTAATAAATAACATTCCTATAAATGGAAATATAGTTATTTTAACTTAAGTAATAATAATTTTAATTGTATATTTCCAATTTTTTCAATGATATAATGTGTACAGTTTGGAATTTAACTCAAAATTTAAAAATTATCTTCAGTATTTTTAACACTGAATTATACTTATAACTGAATTATGGATTAAAAAAAGATTTATACAAACAAAACTCACTGGCATTTGTAAATTAATTTTTCATATAATAAAATATCAAATATTTTAAATTAATAAAAAATTATAATTTACTTTTTATTTACTTAGAACTCATAGCTTGAGCAGCATCAGCTAATGTAGATAGATTATCAGGAGGGGAGTTTACATTAGTACTATAAGAGTCTTGTTCTTTTTTTTCTATTAATTCAGCAGCGGCTTGTAAAGTTGCAAGGCCAGGACTATTTGTTTCATTAGAATCTAACTTCATATGACGATGTTCACTGCGTAAATCAAATGTGTGGAGTGGTAGCTGTTCAAGCCATAAAATCATTCTTTATAATTAAATAAAAGGTTAAGGTCAACATTAATGATAATATTTTCTATAATACAATTAAACAATTATTATCATTATATTTTAGTGAAGGAACATTATCCCAATATTTAAATGAATCTTAAATGTGGAATAGGTAAAACAGAGAGAACTAAAATAAAACATGAATTTTTCATTAATCAAAATAATAATTCATAAATAATTTGAACCACAAGACATTTATAATAATACAAGATTTTGAAAATTGGTAATATAAATACTAAGAATTGATTATAATCTTTGATTATATTATTATATCATTAATAATAAAGTTTTAAAATTATTTAATTAACATAGAAAAAACAAAAGATTTAAATTAAAAACTACATTTATCTGTTGGTACAAGTCTAGAAACCCTTGAAAAGTCTTAGGATTTTAAAATGATTGGAAAAATCATAAAAACATCAGTGAATTTTATGATTTAGTCTAGGATTTATAAAAATTGATTGAACTTTTTGTATATTTAGACAATATAAAATAGGGGTTAGGAGTTTAAATCTTCTTGTTACAATTTTTATTACATATAATCTAAATTATGGGCTCTACATTTACAAACCATCCCATACTCCTATAGACATAGTTAACAGAAAAAGAGAGGCACAGTCAGAATTAGAACCTACGACCCCAAGGTGTTGTAATATTAAAAACTTATTATTCAAATTCTAAAACACTTTATAAAGGTTTTTATACCACATGTTACAAAAAATTATTAATTACACACATTATTATGTAAAATTCTACATAATAAATTATGCTGAATTTAAAAATTGGCATACTAACAAACCAGCCTTCATCATTAGTTCATAAATTATGCCAACAAATTTCCATTTGATTATATATCATTATAAAATATATTTTTTTATTTAAGTCTTAGCTAAAAAACCCAAATTTTAACTAATTGACTTCACAGAAGTTTTAAATTATTAAAAAAGTTCAATAACTTTTAAAAGTTACAAAAAGGATACGAACTTTCTTCTTTTTCTATTTTGACAATAGTTGGTAAGATGTGTTTAGTTCTAAATTCTTGAACTTCGTCTATAAGTTCAATGAAATCTAAACGATCATGTAAACCATCACTACCAAACTTTTCATTGTATTTATCATAATGAACTTCTTCCAAAACTAACCCTAAACCAGGAGCAATAGGTAAATCTAAACGATCATGTTGCCATGAGCGTTCTATTACATCAGGCTTTGCTATGCCACGACATACTGCAATAATTACACCAACCATTTTTCGAATTTGATGAAGCATGAAACTTTGACCTGTGTAAAATAAAAACAATTAATTTTACCTAATTTTCATTGGTGATGATAATCTTTGAAAATTACCTCTAACAAAAAGTGATATTAATTCAACTCCGTCTTTTTCAAAAGGTTTATCACAATAAAACTTTACCATGTATCTTTGAGCACTTGGGTCATTCGCTTTTCTAAAAAAAATTAGTAAAATAATATAAAAATTTGAAGTTTGATTAAATTAAAATATATATTTATTACAAAGATCTAAAGAATATCATATAACAATATAAGGTCTTGACGAAAGTAAATAATCAAATTTTTAATTATCTATTGATTAATAATAAAATTATTTTAATATTTCACTGAAGTCTATAATTGTTTTTCTTATTATTCTTATAGTTTGAATAATAAATATATTAAAGGGAAATTAATAAAAAACATCTTAAAAATTAAAAAAAACTTAATAAAATTTTGAATGTCATATAAAATTCTGAAGACCCATAATTAAACAAATTTTACTTTTTTGATGTGTAATTATGATAGTTATGACATCCAAGAAACTTCAGTAAGACTTCATTTATTCTATCTATAACAATAGAATCAATACGATAGTTGAAGTCTAAAGAGGCTTCTGGTGGTGCAAATGCAAATGTTGGACAAGTGTAAGAATATGTCCGTCCATCACATGAGTTTTTACTATTAAAACCTTTAGTAACTCTTCTAATGTCAAGTACTCTAATTTGTTCAGGTAAAGACAAGTTAATAGTTTCTTTTTTTACATCTTCAGCTAGTAAAACAAATTCATAATTCATTTTTGTAACTATGTATAGTATGTTGTCAGTGCACTTTTTTAATTAGTAAATAAGATAACACAAATATTACTCAGTAAAATATTTTGTTACCTCTGTATTTATTACTCTTTTTTACCAATTGGGCAACACACAACAGTCAAAAGTATAGTTATGTATTATTCTAACTTACAATTTATATATTAAAAGAAAGTAATGTTTGTCGTCCATTAAGAACTTCTTAAAAAATGCACTAAGTATTATACATTAAAATAGCATTTAACATGCTCTTAACAGGTCATATTTTTTTTAAATAAGACTTACGTAATAAAAGTGAAATTATTTGACGCAGTGCAGATACTCCTTTATCAGTTCTTGCTGCTCGTTGAAATTGCATTGTTTGCATTTGATCAAATCCTTCTTCAGTAATGTAGTTGTTTATTTTAAGAGCTTGTAATAATTCTTCTTCTACTGTCCTTGTACCTTTATTTCTTTTTTGGGAAATATAAAGATTAAAATTACATTTTTAAAGAATCAATAAGCACAAAAATACCTTTGTAAACCTAAATAACCTTGTCCCGAGTAGGCTAAAAGTATTGCACACTTTTTCCTTTTTACTCGAGGTTCAATACACTGTTTTTTTTTAGTTGAACTTTCATCATCAGACAATGAATGTTTTTGAGCAATAATTGGATCAGACACCATTTTACGAATGAAGATTACAGGATAAATCAATGATTTCTTATTAACTATAAAAATAAGAATTAAATTATTTAAAAATTATTCATATGTTTTTATTATTTTAAAAGTATACTTGAATTTATGGATAAATATTTCCTTGTAAAAATGTTAACAAATAACACCATTGATTGTTAATTTTTACTACAATCAACAAAAATGGTAACGTTAAACTGTAGGGTTTAAAAACTAGTTTTCTATATTTCCAAATCTCAGAAATTTCAAGGTTATTAAAAAAAAAAATGTTTAAAATTAATCTTACCCTACACCTTTTATTTTATTTTTTGTAAAATCTGTAAGTTATAAAAGCAAATGAATTATAATAAAAGTCACTAATTCTTAATCATTATTGTTATCAAATACTATTTTATACCTAAACCAAAAAATGTGAATGATATCCAGATGCCCTCGCATCTGAAAATCATATATCCTAACATAAATATGTTCCACAAAATAATTTACGTTCTTTATAAATTGTTTTTAATTAAGTACACCAGGTAGAAGGATCAAATAGCTTGCATAATTATTGGCCTCTAGCCGCTTCTTAAGGACTATCAATAAATTTAACATAAATTAAAAAATTGAATTCACTTGTCACTTCGTACTTGTCAACAATGATCTAATCTGACGTGCTCGTACTTAAAAATTTCTTTCGACAAGAGGGAGCTGAAGAACAAAATTTATTTTTAATAATAGTATTTTATTTAAAAAATTTTCAAACTAATAGTTACTTAAAAAAATCATAACGTGTATTTAGTTTTCAAATAATAATTTTTTTCATTTCGTAATTTAACGCCAGATCAGAAAAATATTTTACCTAATATTTTATTTCACTGTTCACTAATTTCTTATGTTTCCCAATAGAACAATGCTAAAGCGTGATTTTATAGGGTACATACGAAATCAACGTCAGAGACATAATTAGCGTACTGTTACTAATGTTTTACCGCCCCTTAACAACATTATTTTGATAACTTTTTTTTTCTAACTAAAAAGTTTTTCTGGGTAACGATAATTAACAAACAATTGATGAGCAAAAAATAAATCAAATATCAATGTGTAAAAATTTAATGCCACCTCTAGAACCCTTAAATACGTCTCTGGTCGACATTGAAAGGCTAATTTTATTTTAGAATAGATGTAGACTTCAACCCACCCCCCAAATTATACATATGGTATTACTATGTAAAATATGGAATAATAATCCTACAATATTGGTTGGATATTGTCATAAAAAATCATACATTTTTAAAGCGTAAAAACACGTCTTCTTAAAATGCATTTTACACACTAAGTACTGCACTTGGTGCAATAACACTCATTATAAAAACGAAAGAGAAAAACATTTTGGAGATGATCTCGTATTCATTTTTGGGTATATTATATTAGTAAAAAGTTATAATTGATAGAAGTTTAATAAAAAAGTATTTTTATAAATTTAATTATCAAGCTTATTAGGTTAATTCCAAAAGATGAGATATGAGATTGTTTTCGAATTATTGTCCTCTTTCAATTTTGTAATAGGTGTTAAAGCTCTGAATGTAATACAAAGTGAGTAAAATGCATTCTTTTAAGATATGTTTTAGACCACTTTTGTAGAATTTTTTTGTTGCTTTTATCGATTATATTTTAAAAATATTGACAGATGATGCACCCTGAGAAAAACCTCGATCTATATAATAAATTCATTGTTCAATTTGATAAATATATCATTACTATTGAATCTATGATATATTTATCAATATGATCATTTTTTTTCTTGTCTTGAATAATAATTGTTTATAAGAATAATTATTTTGTTCGTATTAATAAAACATTATCATAAACCCTTGATAAAATTTCTCTATCAAAATTGATTGAGGTTTTTCTTTGGGTGTGGTGCGGCGTGCGGTGTAGTTTCATGTGTCGCCGAAAACGTTATCAATATTTCTTTAAATAATTTCACTAACACGTGCGGACCAATTTTATCATGCCGGCATTCAATAATTTGAATTATTACTCTTCAGAATTGTTATTAAATATCGTTCCTGATGACAATTTATCTGCATTTCTCCTATTATCAGTGAATTAAGATATTACGCCAAATCTTTAGATTTGATTAAAAAAAAATCATAAATGTATCCCCACCCAACTATGCTCAATGTGTTTAGAGTGAGTTAGGCAAAACTAATTTTGTCATATTTATTGCAGCACTGCTTGTCGCGCGTTGTTCAAAATATTTTCAAGCATTTTAGCTAAAATTATTATTAAAGTGTGGTGTTGTACTTGGTTTTTTTATATGGGCAATAAAAATAATAAAAAAATATTTTTTAATACAAAAAAATTACCTGTCAATTAGTTCTAAAAATATATAACAAAAATTCAAAGTAAATATATATTTATTGATGTAAAAGCGATCGCTGTAATTTAATCAGATCCATAAAAGGGCGGATAAACGATTCTTCATTGATTGGGAAATATTAGTGGCCCAGCTAAAAAATGTTTACATCAATTCACTAGATGCTAGAGAGTGGTAGTGGGAACTGACTGTGTGACCTTGCCGCCTCTGGAGCATTAAATGCGTATTGTTTTTACTAAAACGTCCTCTTAAGGATCACTCTAATGAACATATTCACAATGACGCGTGCGACATACTTGTTTTGTATTTTTTCGTCATTTTGTCATTTTGACTTCTACCCCCGACAAATACCTCAAAAATGTCTCTCGTTATAGACACTGAAATTTTGATAAATGAGGTTGAATTAAGACCAAATTTGTGGAATTCGAGGGACGAGAAGTATAAATACAGGGATATTAAAGCAGCAATAATCTTTAAGCGCAATGTGTTGTTGCGGGTTCGATGCTACGAACAACAGCTGTAAAATAAATGCAATTAAATATTTATGCATGTATATTGCCCCCCCCTGATGGTGGGAAATCGCTCACACCATTACAATGTTACCAATAAAATAAAATTATGTGTATACATCAGTGGCGGTTCGTGGTTTGCACAATGGGAAGAATCGCACCCCCTATTAAAATAAATTCAAAGAAGAAAATTAATCGTAAATTCTTAATTCTACATTTTTAAAAAAATTTTTTATTAAAAATGAATTTTTTTAAATAGTAAAATAGTTATAATACATTTGTCGTGTGCGAACATTGAGTTGTTTTCCTCAGTACATGCCGTTACGCATGCACACACGAGCAATATTTAGATCTACAGTGTCGTCCGAATAATATTATGAAACGTATATGATAAACGAGGCGCCAATCGTGTACGTGCGGTTACTGTTAAGCTGCAATCTTATGTAAGGGTTTTGGACGACCAGCAGCGTCGACCATTCGGTATAATATTAGTATACTACTATATTGGTAATTTATTTTTAGAATTAACTACGTGTACGCTTGTCGTTATCGTTTGCCATAATGGTATATTCGCTATTATTATTTGCATTTCTATTTCCTATTGCAATCTTTAAAATAATATATGTATTGTGTTTTATTTTATTATATTTAATTTGACAATTTTTTTATACCTATGACCACGGTCACACGAGCGTTGAAATAACGGACGTCACTACCCTAGTCACACCAACGTAAAAAACGGTAGCACAGTGGGGTCGAGGCACAGTATAGACGTGGCATAGATGAGATAAGTATAGATGATATCTGACAGTGATTAAAATCACTATCATAAGAAACGCTTCGATGCAAATCTGTAGATAGTGTTTCCTTTAGAGAAATTGGTGAAATATTTTAAAAGCAACATGAACTCTTATTTCTTTAATTATATCCTGATTAGTAGTTCTTTGATTTTAAAATATAATATATGAATAAATACTAATTATAGTTTTTAAATTTAGTATGAAATTGTGAGGCCAGCTATGATGTATGGTTAATAGTGTTGGGCGGTTGATAAGAAAGTAGAGCAGAGAATAAGTGTAGCAGAGATGAGAATGCTTAGTTGGATGAGTGGAGTGACTAGAGAAGATAGGATAAGGAACGAGCATATAAGAGGAAGTATAGGTGTTGCGTCAATCGTGGATAAGATGACAGAAAATAGACTTAGATTGTTTAGTCATGGTATGAGGAAAGAAGAATCGAAAGCTGTAAGAACAGTTATAGAAATGAATGTTGAAGGAAGAAGAGATAGAGGAAGACCAAAAAAGAGATGGAGGGATGCTATTGAATGCGATTTGAGGACAGCTGATGTGAGCGTAGAAGATGTGGGAGATCGTGTCAAGTGGAAGCTTAGGATAAGGGTGGCCGACCCCAAGTAGTTGGGATTAAGGCAAAGAAAAAGAAAAATATTACCAGAAATTCCGGTGGCAATTGACATAATATGATTGTTGTTTCGGAATGTACAATTTAGCGTTTAGTTGGGTTTAAATAATATAGCGTCAAATCAATTACCTACTCTATCGGTTGTATCTCAATATACACTACACTTTAATGATACAATAAATAAATAAACTCACACATACACACATATGCATTTATAACATTGTGTCTAATGTAAGTATAACATGATAAAAAGTAACCGTAAAATGAAAAAAATGGAATATAAATTTTATTACTCATATTAAATGTAATGTAACTCGAAAAATATTTGTTTAAATGAAAAAATATAAGATTATATTTTTATTTATAATTGTCTTTTAAACAACTTTTGTGCGAAACTTTTTTTTGTAAGTTAAATATTTTTTTTTGAGAAAATTAAGAAAGCTCATATTTTTGAACTTTTGCGAGGATTTAAAAAAAAAGCTCAATTCCAATCTTGAGGACTATTAGTATGTCATTATACATATTTTAATTCAACTTTTAAAAAAACAAAATTTTTTCCGCAATTTTTCCTTTGTTGACAGGCCTAGATGTCAATTTTAAACTTGTAATTGAGCTAAAAGTTATGGTAATATATTCAATTTATTTTACTATAAACTTTCATAAATCTTTATCAAAAATTTTTCATCAACTTTAAAGAACCAAAAAAATAGGTTAAAATTGAAAATTTGGACTGATTATTTTTAACATATTAAAAATCAAATCAGTAATAATTTGAAAACAAATTTTTTTTTCTTTTAATTATTATTTTATATATATAATTAGTAATAATATAAAAAATTAGAAGTGATAGAAATAGTCTACTTGCAGATTTGAAAACAACGCGAAAATTTGATTTAGAAAAGTATATTTTTGCTTCTGATGAAAGTTCCTTGTAGTCCAGTGCATTTTTTTATAGTAACAAACAGTTTTTATTGAAAATTATTGTA